AGCAATGACAAAGTTCTAGAGAAAAATGGTAGCAAAAATGACACTTCTAGATAACAACAAGAGACACGGCACATAATGAAGAAAGAGGGCTTGGAAAATTTGATACTCACAGGACAGATTAAAAGCAAGAGGGACATAAAAAAAAACAATGCATAACATACATAGTTTGAGTAAAGGGATGGCAGAGCAAGGTTTAGGAGCGATAACAAAAAGACAAAATTTATAAGCTACAAAGGACAGGAAATTGGGGAGAGCCATGATCACCAACTTCTTGAAGAGACATGGCACAAAGAAGAAATATCTTATGAAAGTAGATTTAAAAATTTTTTTTTTTTAAATTCTATTTAGTTTCATAATTAAACTCCTCAAACTATAGAGACATTTTAGCAATGGAGGATGGGTATTCTATTTTTAAAGTAGATTTATTCTAAGATTTTTCTTTTTTTCAATCTTCTTTCACTTCTGCTTGTTAAAGGAAATTAATCAAAACTCACCGTAGGTTTTTTTTTTTTTTGTCGTTACAACAAAATTGATATAATGTAAATTTTTTTAGTATCCAATAACTCAGGAAAAGAACAATTTTAGTTATGAGCACAGATACCTGGACTTTATAGAAGAAAACATTAACAATCACAACTACAATTGAAAAGTTATCTAAGCTTAACATAAAATTTGTTACAACTACTTTTAAAACAATAAAAGACTTAAAACTTGGAGGAATTTATTTGATCACTTGTAATGATTGCCAGAAGGAATACATAGGAGAAACCGTTGGGATTTTAAATGATTATATGAACACAAATGAGATCTTTTATGAAACACTAAATGCATTAGTTGCTCACTGTAATGAGTGGCCATAATTCTGATTTAAAAAAATGCTACTTTAATTAAAAGAGAAAACAATTTACTAAGACAAAAGTGTTTAGATCATCCACAGTAAATTTATGTCCAGGTTCTTACATTTCACCTTTCTTGGTAGATCATCATGTGAGATATTTAAAAACATAAGTGAAGGAAACAAGGAAAAAGAGACTAAAACTGGTTAGACTATATACCAAAATCATTAAAAAAAAAAAAAATTTTAAATTTAAAATTTTCAGTGTCTCCTTTATGTGTATATGCAGTTGTATCAACATAAACATCACTTTAGTCCAATGAAGTTCTAAAGGATGAAAACATGTCACAGGAAAAACTTTTTCCACTTTTTTTTTCATAAACTTTCCTAAAATAATCATAGTTGTATATTCAAGTAAACAAGTTTGACATCTCTCCAGAGAAACAAACGTTTCTTATACTTGATAGAGAGGAAAAAAAAAAAAAAAAAAAAATTTAATCGATATCAAAATGTTTTTTTTCCACATGCATATATTTGTTTATTAAAAATTTTTTTTTGCTTCAAAAAGAATATTTTTTAAAATAATTATATTGCTTGTTTATGATTTTGTCTCAAGTTTGGGAATATTTTTTTTTAAATAGGTTTCTTTAGATCAAACGATATTTAGATTGTCCCATATTAATAAAACTAGTTTTACTCCTACCCAAAAACAATAAACAGTAAAATGTTAGAGCAACTGATTATTGGGAAATGAATGTTTAATACCTGAAATAATGAGCATTTTAACTTAACTGGGTTACTTTTTTTTTTTTTTTACTAAGCTTTTAAATGATGAACATTGTAAACTACTACTACTATTAACATTATAATAATAATATTAATCTTTAAAAAAAATGGATAAAAGAAAAAAAAAAATTCCTTGAAAAACCAGATTTATTTGAGAAAAGTTGTTCTTTTTGGGATTTCAAATGACCACAATAAATATTATCCACAATTCTGTCTAAATTTCGGAGATGATGACTAACATCCTAATTTTTGTTGTTACTATCACAATGTTTTGGATATGGGCACAATGGTTGAAATATGATAATAGCAACAATGATGAGGACATTAGTTCAAAGGTCAATGAAATTGTAACTTGAATAAACCTGTTTAAATATTTCTTTTATTCCTATATTCAATAAAATTGTTCAAATTGATATTCTTAAAAGTAGACTTGATTTCCTTCTGAATTTCTGGAATGAATAATTACTACTTATACTGACTGTAATCCTCATCTTTGTTATTGTTATCACTGGTATGAATGCCAGAGAGTTCAATGGCTGAAACAATTTGGTAACAACAGCAAAGATTAGGACAATTGTCAGAGAGCATAAATAATGACTGGGATTTGCCAAATCTTTTGGTTAGGAGAAAGAAAAAGTTTTAGCAGATATTTTTTTTTTCCTCATTCTGAATCTTGCCATTTCTGAAAGCAAGTTAAGGAAATTTTATTTATCAAATTGCACCAGGAAAAATGAAACTTGAAGAGAAAAAAAAACTTTTTGCTTTGATGTTAACATTCTGACAATCATTTCTTTTCCAACATTTCAAAACTTTTATTTAACTTAATCCCTCACAAAACAAATAAATAAAAATGCCCAAAAATAATTCAATGTTTGCATATCTATAGAATTCACGTTTTCCAAGTCGAAATATCTCCAAATTCCTTTGACATTATAATATGACAAGATATTTAAGTGCAATAAGCAAAAATGTTGATTTCATGAATGTGGAGTCATCTTCAGGACATTTTGTTTGAAATAGTGACAAAATCAACTTTTTTGTTTGTTAATCAAATATTGTCTCCAAGGAGAATTTTTTGATATTGCTTCAAATTGTTTGATGGAGAAATATTTTTTAATGTGTTAAATTGCTGGTTCAATTCAAGTGAAAAGTATAGAAACCTCAAAGATGTTTATTTTTAAATTTCTCAATTTTATTTATTTATTTTTTTTTTTTTTGCATATGTTAAAATTTAATAAAATATATAAAGAGAGATGAATTTAAATGTTAGACAAGTTTTGCCACACTTTTTCAATATTGAATATTTTTGTAATTTGCTTTCAACGACTTTGTTTTTTTAACAAATCATGTTTTGCTTGCCTGAATTTTAGAAATGAACACCATACAGGAACTTTTTAATCAACAAAGAACGAACATGAAGCTAAGGACTAAAAAAGAAAAAAAAAATCTACCACAGGCAATGTAAAGTCATATTCTCATTCTAGTTGAAGAGGCAGACAAGTGACATTAGGTTTAAGGCTTCAATTTTCCATTGTTCTATGGAACAAACACATTTGTTAAGCATATCTAGTTACCTGGCAGTAAAGAGTTAAATCCCTGTGTTGGGTAGTGAAAAAGAAAATCTAAGTCTATTTCAGACGAAGAGACAAAAGAACAAATTAACTAGACAGAATTAACCGATACGAGTTATCTCCCTTAGCAGAGACAGCAGACAGAACAATCTGAACCCGTGGATTGAATTAAGAGTTTGATTTGAATTTCCCGGAAGGTGATACACCTGAAGAAGGCTGGAGAGTACAACAGCTGAAACTGTGATGATAATAATAATAAAGATAAGGACACTCGTCTTAAGAGATCAGCGTGTGATAATCATTTTTCTTTTTTAATTAAATGCAAAAGATTTTATTTTTTTTTTTTATCATTTTAAGTAGATACACTCTAAACTAGGAATTAAAGTCAAATGGAGAAAAATCATTGAAAATCTGGTGAGTGATAAATTCCCATTGACCAGTTGCTGGTTCGTCTCTTTTGTCTGGGTAATTTTGGTCTTTTTATTATCGTTTGACATAATATATACACACAAACACTTTCAATTTGTTTGCTGTGATATCGATAAAAAAAAAGAAAGAAAGAAAGAAAGAAAAAAAAAAAAAGATCTTTATGCTGTTAACATCTTTAAGACAAAAGACAAAAAACGAGTTCTGTTTAAAAAGCAAAAACAGAACTAATAATTTTTATGGGCATAGAAAATGAGTGGGTTTTTATCCTAATCCGAATTAAATATCCCAATTCGAATTTAATACCCTTATTCAATGAAGATAATTATTTTATAACAACTCAGTTAAAAAAAAAAAAAAAAAAAAAAAAATGGAACCCTAAACTTAATTTTATTTGATGAAAAGCACTGAAAAGCTAGAATTACAGGTTCAAATTCCACTAATGAGCTACTACTTCATTATTCCATGGCCACCTTATTTTTTTTAATAATTATTTAGCTAGGATAAATAATTAGATATCATTAAAATAATTTTCAAAATGTCCAATACCTACACAAGATGTTATCTATGAAGATTTGGAATATAATGGCAAAATGTAAAAAAAAAAAAAGAAAAGAAAAGTTAGAAATATGAACAATATTGCTTTTTGAAAACCGACCATCGCAGTACAAAAAAACAGAGAATTATTAGATTTAGATAAAAATCAAATGTTTCAGAAGATAGAAGGGCAAGAGATGTACAATAACACTGCATATTGTTAAAGAAAAAGTCAAACCAACAACCTTTTCTCTAGATAAGTGAAAAATATTGAACTACTGATAAAGTCGTCTATCTCACACAATCATCTTCTCTTTCATTCTCTGTACGTCTGACCTACGCTTGTCAATCTTTGTAATGCATTTATTATAGTAAGAAATGTGCATTAATCTTTACCTAAAGAAAATAAAACAAAGAGACACAAAAACAATACATGGGTCAATGAGTTAAAATTTATATTGAAATTATATAATGAGAGAGAGAGAGAAAAAAAAAAAAAAAATGTCTTTTTGAAGAAAGTATCCAAATGCAATTGATTTCAAAATAAAATTCATGAAATAGCATAAAAATAGAGAGGAAATAATTTTTTTAAAATATTTAAATGGTTAAATTTTATCTTAAATTTTCTTTTTGCCCATTTTCCCTTTGTCTTGAAAGAGTGAATGTCCAGCACAAAAGACGTCTCAGTTGGCAAAGTGACAACTACAAAGGGAAGATAGGACAAAGTAAAAGTAGTAATCATAAGAGAGAAAACAAAGAAAAGGAGGAGAGCTTGACGCTCTGGACTGCTATTTTATTGTGGCCAATATGGCAGTGATAGCAGTGGTTGCTAACTACTATTACTACTACTGCTGCTGCTGAACTTGCGATTTCAAGTATTTTCCCACTTCTTTAGCTTCAGTCTCCATCCATTTACAGTTAAGTCGGATATTCTCACATGATTGTTGGATGTTACGAGTTGCAGAGGCAGCTGGATGAGCGGCGAAAAATTCCTGAAAAGGAAAAAGCAAAAACAAAAAATCAGTCACAGGCATTAACAGATTCACCAAGCAATACTAATGTTTTAAAAGACAAAGAAAAATAACCAGCTTTCATAATGAAGGCAAGCTTCATTTTCTAACTGTGGTAGGCTGTTTTGACAGTGAAACGAGGAGTCTATCCTTGTAGATTAAATAAAGAGTTCGGTTTGGAATTCCCTGTAGGTTACATGGATCGATATAAACCTGATGAAGGCCAGAAGGCACAGCAACTTAAACGTCATGATGACAACAAAGAGGACGACAATAGTTCGACTATAAATAGTGTAAATAACAACTCCTCATTCCAGAATTTTAGACAGAAATTATCAAGTTTCATTATAAATTAAATGAACAAGGTGAGTAGGGGTCAGTATCAGTGGTCAGTTTGAAATTTGAAATCCCTTAACACGAAAAATAGAATTAACGAATTTTGGCCATTAGTTAACAAAATATTTTTTCTTATTTGGGAATACCTTCTTTTCAAAGTATTACTTCATTTTAATTTTTGACTAAAAGGAGAACTTCACTTTCTTGCATCAAGCGAGTTCAGAGGAGAGTGTAGCGAGCGGAAACAAAATGCAGATGGAGCTGCCTACTGCTACTGATAATGGAATCCCCCCACCACCACCACAGGTCAAAGAGGCTACGTTTGGTGTACTGTGCTGTCTGCAGAAAAAAAGCAAATGGCTGTTCTGCCAGAACAAAGGTGGTGCGAATCCAGAGACATCTGGTTATGAAGAAAGAAAGTATCTACCAGCTTCTCCATGAAATAGTAGGGATGGTGCTTTCGCTAGACAACTGCTTATGTTTTGGGCAGGCACATTTTCCAGGAAGAGGCAGCTGGGCACACTGCCTTGCTGAACGTATAAAGTGATTACCATGCGTTAGCAAAGGTTTTTGTCCGTGTTATCCAATGTCGCCTGAAATTCATTTGTCCTTGTTTGTGGTTACAGCGTCTTGGTTATGTTCATCCCTGACATGTGGTATTCTGGCGTGAAAGTCTTGTTTGTGCTTGGCTAATTGTGTTCCAGTGTTCAGCTCCTTTAGTATTTGATTTTGGAGCTTCTGTCCTTCCTGAGTTGTGACACGCCTCTTCATTGACAGATCCAACCAATATGAAAATCCTTCACATAAGAAATCTTTAGAAAGAATCTTTAGAAACTCACTAAATGACTGAAAATGAGGATTGGTAGTAATGGTCAACCAGGCAAGCTCACCTCATACAATGTGACTAAAGTTAGATCACTGCAAAAGTTTGGGGCCCAATTAGAAAATTAAAAACAAAATTTTAAATACTCACACAAAAAAAAAAAAAAAAAAAAAAAAAAAAAGAAACATTTTGTCAAGTATATAGTCTCCATTGTTTTGTTTTTAACAAATGTCTAATCATTCTACAAGCTTGTTGATGTCATTTTTATAAAAACTATTTTGGTTGTGAGGTAGTTTTCAACTGAAAGCACACAGTCAAAATTTTTGTTATTTAAATTGTTCTGTTGAGACCAGAATAAAAAGAAAATCTAAAGGAACCAACTCAGGAGAATATGAACAAGGGTGTCTCATTTCAACTCTAGGCTTCTGCAAGATCCATTTTCTCAACATGCGATGTTGTAGAAAATGACAACCTTTTGATTTGCCGAAATCGAACATTTTTTTTTTTTTTTTTTAAAAAAACCCAAGCCTCTTTAAATGGTAAAAGGTAGCCGAGATATAGATTTTTAAAACTCTTAGCAATCTCTTCCATCAAAATCTTTGGTTTATTGTCCATGATGGGAGGCAGTGCATTTTCATCAATGTTAGAAGGTTGCCTGGAGTGTGGCTGATTGTTTAGGCTAAAATCATTCTGAGGAAACCTGCCATACCATTTTTGATCGTCTGAAGAGCTGAAGCATGATCCAAATAAACCCCCCGAATGGTTTTTGCCGTGTTTTCAATGATTACTCTTTTCTGAAAGTCATAGCGAAGCTTTTTGTCCTCCATTTTTAAGGCATTCATTTGTGGAGAAAATATCAACCTTCAACAAAATCTGATCTGCAAGAGAACGATGCAAGGTTTCAATCTGGAACACACTAGAAATCAGCACCAAAAAAACGCCAGTGTCAATTTGCAGTCATTTTATATTAACAATGAAAGTCAGTCACAAGATTTTTCAAATGATCTGATATTTACGATGTTATTTATTTAATCAAGTAATATAAATATTTGAGTATACCTGTGCCATCAAAATTGGTGGTAAGAAGGAATGTATTATGAGTAATATGTATTACAGAATAACTTCCCCAAATCCAAAAAAATAGCATTAGACTTCCTTAAAAATGGACTCATCTTCAATCTGAGATTTTGTATTGACATAAATAGGAAGCCTTTTCTTCCTTGTTCCTCTAATTACCAAACATCTCAGATTTTCAGTTTTGATGAGTTGTACTGTATATCCTTATTTTTGTCTTCCTTTACAGATTGTAATTGTTTTGCAATAAGATATTTCTTGCCCATAATTTTTAAACATTTCATAAAGTGTCTGTCTATATTTCTGAGATGAGGTATTATGTACAGTATTTACATTAGTCAGACTATTATCCTCATCTTTGTCGCCATATTTGTCACAACGTTTCGGCCGTTGTACACTCCGGCCTTCTTCAGGTGGTTGGAATTTCGAACTGAACACCATTGGAAAATTCGTAAACTTAAGGAATCAGCACATATGCTCGGCCACAATAATCTCCTGAGCCAACCAAGCATAGAAATAAATACAATATGGGAACCAGTAATAAGGAGTGCCAGAGAAAAGCAATGATAACAAAGTCGCAATATGAACTCTGGTAAAGACATGCAATGATAACAGCAAAATTGCAATATGAGCACTGGTAAAAATGATGCTGAAAAACATTAGGTTTATAATACTCAGAAGTTCATACCCAGATGTCCTCAAGGACATGGCACAGTGGATAAAGACGTTGGTTAGATCCAGTGACAGATCCAAAGAAGGTGAGTTCAATACCTGGTTAAGGCAATGGAGAACTTTCAGAGGGAAAATTAGCAGGAGATAACTGATAACTGACATCCATCAAACGTGGAACTAGAACAGTCTACCAGTGATCGAAATAAAGGGTTCAGTTCGAAATTCCAACCACCTGAAGAAGGCCAGAGTGTACAATGGCCGAAATGTTGTGACAAATATGGTGACAAAGATGAGGACAAATTACTTTTTATATCCTAAACTCTGAAACTTAATAAAAATTTTAAGCAGCCACAGCATTTCTTCCTTGAATCCAAATAGTACCCTCAATGTCGAACAGCTCAAATGTTCAGTTTAGAGGAATCGAGCTGTATATATATATATATATTAAAAAAATAATAAATATATTAGAACCTCCCAAAACTAAACATAGCATAATCTAGAGTTCCTCGAATTACACTTCCTTGAATTTGGATATCTTCAAATTCAGACTTTTGTATTGACATAAATATGAAGCCTTTTCTTCCTTGAATCAGAACAGTACCCTCAATACCAAACATCTCAGATTTTTGGTTTTGATGAGTTGTACTCTATATCCTGATTTTTATCTTCCTTTACAGATTGTTTTGCAATAAGACATTTCTTGCCCATAATTTTTAAACATTTCATAAAGTGTCTTAGTTTTTCCCAAATTACAATATTTGTTTATCACAAATTTTTTTCATTACTATTGGTTGTCAATAATTTCTTGTACATTTATGTATTCAATCTACATTTTAAATAAAAATGAATCAACGTTACAAACTACCTTTGGTGTCCTAAACTTTAAAACTTGATAAAAATTTTAAGCTTGCCACAGCAGCCTTTTCTTCCTTGAATCTGAACATTACCCTCAATACTGAACATCTTGGATCTTTGGTTTAGAGCAGTTGTATGGTACATTGTAAGTAACTTTCGTTTAATCCAACTAAAATTTTTTTGTGTAACAATTGAAGGAAAGTGTGCAAAATAACGATGAAAAAAAATTCAAGTTATATTTGTTTTTGAAAAGAAAAAACTTTAGTTAAATAAGAATTATGAGAGACATACAAGAGTCACAGGTAATATTAGTCATGTTGAATATTTGTTTTACGAATTTAACTATTTTAATTCTTTTATTAAGGCCAATTAGGAAGAAATAAATATAATTTATATACTTATGTGAGAAACAGTGAAATTTTATGTTTCTTTTTTTCTTTTCAAAAACAAATATAACTTTAATTTGGGTGGGTGGATCATTGTTTGTGTGAAAGTATGTGTGTGCATGCTTCTTAGTAGTAACTGGGGATACAAGAGATAGATAGAATTTAGCTCTTACTGTGAACTGTGACACTGTTGTTTGGGGTGGACTCTTTGTAGTTTTCAGTCTTTACTTCTGTGTGTCTTATGTCAAAATTTTGAACACTGCCTCTCAATTGTAATACACACAAAAATTTAAATATAGTAACTACTGACATTCTGAGCTAAACCTGTACTCTAATATATATATGTGTGTGTGTGTGTGTGTGTGTGTGTGTGTGTGTGTGTGTGTGTGTGTATTTAAGAATGTTGATAATACCATAGATGAAGCATGTGAGCGACAAGGAAGTCTTAAGGAAAATGGAAATAAAAAATAAAAGACACTTATACTGAGAAGAAACAGTATTTAGATTGTATTTAGAATCTGAAAGAGACAGTTGAAATTTCTAGAACACATAATGAGGAAAGAAGGTTTGGAAAATTTGACACTTACAGGACATATCAAAGGCAAGAGAGTAAAAGGAAACAGTGGGTAACCTACTTAATGAGTTTGTGCAAATGGATGGCAGAATAGGGGAGGGGAAGGGATAGAGAAGACAAACATTGTTAAGAGCTACAAAAAGTAAAAAGTCACAGAGAACATGATTTATCATGTCCAGATGGAACACAGCACACAAAAGATATACAGTCGATATATAGCAACATAAACAAATATCCAGATTAATTTCAAAACTACTTACTTCAACTTCTTTGGCCATTTTTTCAGTCACAAAATTTTCAGTTGTAAGCTAATCAAAGAAAAAGAAAATTTTTTATTTTGTACCTCCTCGATAAAATGTAAGAAAAAGAAAGAAAAGACAAAAATAAGTGACTGTCTTTATGAATAACTTATGTCCAGTTCAAAACTCAGAAATTGGATATTAAGAACAAAGAAAAGCAAAATTAGAAAACCACTGAATAATCTGATTCTCTAAAATAAATTCTATTGATTTGATTTTCAAAGTTTAGATGAAATTTCTTCTGAGAATGACAGGCAAATAGCAAGAGATATTTGTTATTTCTTCTGTCAATTTATACTTTATATTTATTGAAACTGTTCAGGTAATTGAATGACAAAAGGCAAAAATTTTGTGTGAATCCATTTCATCCTGTGGAAGGGGATCAAACTAAAGTAATCTTTTTATTGATGGAATTATATGTGTGTGTGTGTGTGTGTGTGGGGGGGGGGGGTTTGAAAAAAAAAAAAAAAAACTGAATAAGATCAGCTAGACCAGGGATATCCAATATGCTGGTTACACAGTAGCCCACTGCACCTGAAAATCTTTAGGCATAGTTTCATTTACTTTAGTAATGTACGCCGAGAAAATTATTCTCAGAAGTGCTAGAAGGTCCACTTTCCCTTTGCACTAAAAGAGGAAGTGTTGAGACACACTGGCTGATGCATGGAGCCAGAACTAAGTAAAAATTATTTAGCTTATGGTTTTTGTCTCTGGGTCATGTGGTGCAGTCCTTGGACTACTCCCACATTAAACTGACCTTGTGTCAAATTTGCGGTTGATAAGGTAGTGAATAAATAAAAGGATATACTTTTGTAAGAATATGATTTCTCTCGCATATCTTTAGAAGATAAGGAGATAAATTTCTTCTTTTTAAATCCACTCAGCTATTTGAGTTTCATAGGAATTTTGTCTCCAGTCCATCTTTGAGTGGACAAATGTCAGTGTTTTTAGGATTCATGTCTCCAGTTCACCTTTGAATTAGGAAACAAACATTTTCATAAATGATTTTAGATAGTCATAAAAGTAATCTTTTGAAGATTTGCCCACTCTTATGGTTCTGGGGTGGTATCAACACTCCTGGATGGAGGGGGATGAGACCTCAGGATTATCCATATAAGCAGAGGGTGTCAGGAAGTCAAGGGGAGAAAGTGGGTCCACCTGTGAGAGAAATAGGTAGGTGACCAGAGAAGTGAGAGCTGCCCAGCTGTCAGTGACAGAAGGACCAATAGTGGGAAAATCAAAAGTCGCCGAGGCCAGGTTAGATAGCAGTTCAGCCGAAAAGATTCATTTTCCCCTTTCTTGAAAGGAGTGTCAGGCATTTTTAGTGACTCGTGTCTAGGCCTAATGCCAAGTGGAAGGAGTTAATCAAAACTTATTCTTTATTTCTTTCTAATTTCAGGTATATAATACAGACATAGGTAGGTGTGTGTATTATATATATTATATCTTTTGTTAAAGTATTTTAAAAACTCTTCAAATCCTTTCTAATAAAAGTTAATATCAATAACAAAACACAATATATCTATTTTAGTCACTCACAATAGATATTTATACCAATAAACTAAAATGATGTTGACGTGTATATTCAATAAAGTGTTTTGTAATGATACATTTATCATTTCAAGATTTGTATGTGACTGGATGTAATGGAGAGGGAATCTATATATAACATTACATCTTTCAAAAGGACTTCATCAGATTTTTGAAGAACAAAATGAATTACATAAAATTTTCCTCACTTTGTCATTTAATTACACAACATTGGACATATATATATATATATATATATATATCTTCCACAATTATAGTTCTTAAAAAGAAAGTTATGAATAAAAGAAAATTTCAAAGTTTGAGTTTTATTTGAAACATTGGACTTACCTTGAGTAGCCGTGCAATCAAAGCACCTCCCTGGTAGCGCTGATAAAATAAATCCCAATGTTCCTTGACAAAATCCCAAGCCATTTCCCGTCCTTTTACAGTGCCTGTTACACCAGCTACTACAAACACGGTATCTTGTGAACGAACCTTATCCTGAAAATTTACAATGAAAAAAAAGAAAGAAAAGAAATGAAAAGCTTGGATGTTCAAAATGGTGCTTGTGAACTGGTCCAAGTACATGCAGCATATTAATCAAATTCTAGCTAACCCCCATACACTTTTGAGGAGAAAAAAAAAAAAAAAAAAAGAAAAAAAAAGATTTTTTTTTTTTTCAAACTGAAAGAATAGAATAAATACTTGTTGGGCACTTCAGTGTGATGTAATGGTTAGAGAAAGCTCGTCTCACTAGAACATTTACAACCGAATAGCGAGTTCAATCTCATTGGGTGCCCCATACTTTTGGCCTTGTGCCACATCTAAGCTATGCTTGAAAAATTACTAGAAAATCAAGGCATCTTGACGTGGTGTAATGGTTAGCAAGCTCATCTCGCTAGAACAATTACAACACTGAGTAGTGAGTTTGATCCTCACTAGGTGCCCCATACTTTTGGCCTTGTGCCACATCTAAGCTATGCTTGTAAAAATTGCTAGGATACTGGTATTTGGTTTGCAGTTTTAACTGCACAAAACAATACAAGTTGTTAATTAGCATCAGATAATTATTTAGGTTTAAACAGAAAATCTATCAATTTGCTAATTATTTGATTTCAATTAAATTTTTGGTACATATTTATTCAGGAATTGATTTATTTATTAAATACTCACTTTATTTAATTAAAAAAAAAGAAAAGAAAAAAAAAGTAGACTAAAACCCTTTAATTTTATACAAAGAGAAAATACAAAATATCCTTCAATTACTTTTATAAAAAAGAAAAAATCTTTATTTTATAGCCCCTTCCATAAAACCCTTTATTAAAAAAAAAAAAAAAAAAAAATCCTTTATTTTTTTTTTTTTTTATAAAACAGACCCTTTATTGAATGATTATAAAAAGCAAACAACGTTTATGTAATTTAATAAATTTTTTTGGGGGGAAACTGAAAACACTTCCATTTGAATAAATGTTCAGAAAAATGAAATCAGTTGAAATTTTATTTGAAATTTCAAATGAAAATGTTGAAGAAAATATAACTGTAATCAAGAAGGGAGATGGGGAATCGAAACAGACATTTTCTTTTAGTATTTTAAAATTATTTTTTTTTTTTTACCTTGGACACTTATGAAATCCTATTAATTAAAAACAAGAAGAAAAGTTTATCAATCTAATGAACTAAAGATTTTTTTATGAGAACATTGTGTGCATTCATATGCATTCTCATAGTTTATATATTTTACAGGAGTTAATAAAGAAAATAAATTTATTCAGAAACAAAATAGATTTCACATTATTTTTGCTCAAATACTTCCCACAAGACATTTATAAATTTAATTAAAAAATAGTAAAATTCTCATAGGGCAGGATGAAAAAGTCTTAAGACTTACAGAAATAGCAAACTCCAGAACTTGTCTGATTAGATTTTCTTTTCTTACGGCTCCAATTGCTCGACTTATGCGAATCATTTCTTCCTGTAGTTCAGCTTGTTCATATAACTAAACACAAAAGAAGAAGAAAAAAAACAAAAAAAAACTGAAGTAAACTGATAAAGTGTTTGTATCAAAAACAATCAAAATTAATTTTATATTAGCAGAATTGAAAGATAAGAGAGTAGATATCTGCAGTTTAGAAACTAAAATATATATTCTAATAGTACAAAGAAATTATTTACAGTTTAAATAATGATCTATTCATTTTCCAAACATTATGATTCTTCCTCATTTTGAAGCTTTTCCTGAAAGAGAAGTATTTGCTTTTCAATTCTTTGCTTGATTATTAAATATGAATATCTCAACATTTTTTGTAGAACTTTGTTGAAAGTTTAGTTTTGAATCTTATTAAATAACACAGACTCAAAAGAATCATTTATGGATCTGTGGGTGTAAAGTTTGCTTAGGTTTTTGAAGGAATGAAAGAAGTATTATGCCTGCTGCAATGAAGTAGGTGGTGAAAACATTTTTATTAATTGTTTCCTTGAACTGAAGCAAAAAAAAAACTTACATCTAACATCGTCTTCAAAACATCTTCATCTCCATGACTGAGAACTGTCAGATATACCTGAGAGGGAAAAGAGGGGGGAAAAAAAAAGTTAAATTACAAAATATGTCAGTTAATTTGTCATGTTTACTTTTATAACTATCCTGATATAAAGTATTGACTATGTTATTTGAAAAGAGAAAAAAAACGGCAAAAAGTTGTTATCCAACACTGGGAATTTTAACAGCACATGTGAACCTGTTACTGCTTTGTAAGTAGTAGAATTTGGGAAAATGAAAATGATGTCTATATGCCCAAGGAAGTGTGTGATGAAAGGGGATAATTTTAAAAGACAAACAAAATTTACATATTATTTAAAACTTATATCAAATTCTCATGTTGCAAAGTTTCATCTAACATATAATAATTAAGCTATTTAAATTTTAATACATTCCAACTAACATAATTAGTAATAAGAACTATTTTTATGCACCAAGCTGTGTTTGCAACTACATCCACATGATGATATATATCAAATACACATCAAAATAAAGGGAAAAGTAAAGAGATTCATTTTATGCCTTTCCCCCAAGACATTCACTACTGCACATTCATATACATTAATTCATTAGATTTAAATTATTCGTCAAAAAAGATATTTCCTGTTCAATGACATTTTAATCTTCACCTTTCATACCCCACCCACGCACTTCAAGTAAACAAATGGTTTCTTGGTTACAAAATATGTCTTTACAATGCTTATAATTATCTAACAGAAGAAACAAAAAACAGAAGAAACAAAAAACAGAAGAAACAAACAAAAAACAGAAGAAACAAACAAAAAACAGAAGAAACAAACAAAAAACAGAAGAAACAAACAAAAAACAGAAGAAACAAACAAAAAACAGAAGAAACAAACAAAAAACAGAAGAAACAAACAAAAAACAGAAGAAACAAAAAACAGAAGAAACAAAAAAAAAACAGAAGAAACAAACAAAAAAAAAGAAAAAAAAAAAACAGAAGAAACAAAAAAAAACAGAAGAAGCAAAAAACAGAAGAAACAAAATAGAATAAACTCCATTAAGCAATGTTTACACACACAAACACACACACAGCATCTTGATTTTAATGTGTCATGTTAATTTTAGAATTAAAAGATTATCAGAAAGAAACTTACAGGAGTTTTCAGGTCAGCAGGAAGGAGTTTTTCACCTGACAAATGCATTTTGAATCTTTCACGTGCTTCCTTCAAGACACTTTCATCACCATAACGGCCCATCCGACACAAGACCAGATCTCTCAAAAGTGTTGTTAAATGATCTGAAAATAAACATGAAACCAGAAAAAATTTTTTTTTTGTTTTATATAATCATTTCATCCAATACAAGACAATAGTGCCACTAAGGTGCAAGGCGTTAGTGAGAATGAAATGAAGTGAGAAAGGCGTTAGTGAGGAGAAAGGAAAAAAAACAAACAGGATTCAGGAAGAAAAAAAGATAGCAATTGATGCTTCAATTTTTTTCTGCCATTGATCAAGATTTGATTATTAAATGCCAGATTGATTTTGTTAATTATAGAAAGTCATATTCTAAATCGAATGCGAGCTGTAAAAAAAAAAAATTATGTATTGTTAATCAAATATTTGATGAGCTACAAATTGTTCCTTTGTTCTTTTCAAATTATTTGATGGAAAATGTAATCCAGTTTGCATTTATTATTTCCTCATCTACTTTTATTGTCAAGTCATGAAAAAGGCATACAAAGTGGTGTAATGGTTACTTGTTCAGAAAATGGCATCAGCATACTAAGTTCAAATTCTGGTTGAGGCTGACTGCATTCACTTTTCACTAATGCTCTTGGAGAAAAGAGCATGAACCCATCTCAATTCCCATCAGTTAAGGACTAAAATAATAGAGAAGACTGGGATTTCTAGCCTTAGTAAAACAGTCTTGGGATAGGAGAACCGATTACAAAGCAATAGAGAATGCAACAGGAAAACACTACATATTGAAATTAGCAAAAAATTAAAAAAGTGTGTGTGTGGAGAAGTTGTGGATAACCATGATCATGTACCTCCTGAATGGGTATGAATTTAAAAGCTCTGGTTAAAATGACTGGCAATGGGACTTTTTTTTTTTTTACTTAAAGGCATTGACATGAAAGTGATATTAGTAGACATTACCAATACAAGGCCCATAATTGCACCGATTTAAGTCAAGCCATACACACACATATATATATATATATATATATATATATATATATATATATATATATAAATTTTTAAAAAAAATTTTTTAAAAAACAAACAAAAATCCTTAAATGTTGTTTAAAATGAATGAAATGTCGACGTCTGACGTTTCGGTTTAATCAACCTTTTCAAGACAATATTCATTAAAATACAATACAGTTGAATATGATGGACATAAAAACACAAGTCTTATCCAAAACAGATAACTGAAAACTTTTAAAACGATCAGCTTTCCGTTAACATGGTCACGTTGTCGTCACATGGGCGACGCTTTCAAAACGTATTCCTAAAAGTTTGTGATTATTTTGAAATGAAAAAAGAAAATGAAAAGAATTCTATTAGGTTCTAAAATTTTTATGTGTATGCTTGTCGAGCATAAATCTCGCTAAAAAAGGGAAATATTAAAGAAACCAGGTCTAGTATTCACCGTGCGTGAGATGGATATTATACCTGCTTCATAAATCCTCCTGAGATTTTTATTATGAAAATATTTTAATACTTTCACGGAATTGAAATCGAATTATGATCTGCTTTAGTTGTGTGTACAACTAAAGCATTGTTAAAATTTCCGAGGCTTATCTCGCTTATGTTCGAAAACACGAGATTTTACGGACCTATGTTTTCACCCACGTATTTTAGGTCACAGTTTTTGCATGATATTTGATAGATGCAAGCATCGGATCTAATATGTTGTCTGTTGGTGCTATTTAATAAACTACGGATAGTTCTAGTAGGTAATATAGTAGTTCTAATTTTTAATGCATTTAGATTATGAGAGATACGTTCGGTCAAATGGTTATTTGGTAAAAGATGCGACAAACGAAATATTATCAGAGGCAGCTGAAATTGTATCTTTCATTGATGTAGTTGTAGTGGCCTTCGAGGTGTCATTTTATGCTGATGAGTGAATTTTCAACGCTTTATTTTTAGCTCTCTGTAATAATTGTCTCGGATACGAAAGATTTGAAAAGGTATCCTCAATATATGTGAATTCATCATTTAAATATTTTGATGAACAGATGCAAAGAGCCCTTAAATAGAATCCAATAACAATACCCCTCTTAGTGTTAGTATCATGGTGAGAGTAAAAAATGTAAATAGTCATTTTTACATGTAGGTTTACGATATACTTTGAATTCTAATTTATTTTTATTTTTAATGAGTAGTATGTCTAAAAAAGGTAAGGAATTATTAGATTCAAGTTCATAGGTAAATTCTATAGTAGGTTCTATTCTATTTAATCTATCAGTAATATTGTTTAAATCATGCCATGTGGGTATATAAATAAAATGTCATCGAAAATCCCATAATGTGTATCATTCCATTAATGACATCTTTAAAAGGTCCAGATTCAAGAAATTCTAGAAATATGCATGCTAGGAATCCATTTCTAACTCCCCATTCGGTAAACCAAATTTTTTGTTTATAATAAATATTATTATTTTTCTAAATATGAAGTGCAAATATTGCATAATTTGATGCATTTAAATTAGATAGGTAGCTTAAAGTCAATTTTCTTTAGGTGGTTCTACCTAATTGTTTAATGCATTTAACAACAGGTATATTAGTATATAAAGATTTGATGTCTAATCTAGCTAGTAATTTGTTAAATATATCAATATTTCTCAACATATTTAGAAGAGAGCCTGAATTTTTAAAACAAAATTTGGTTTACGGTGCCCAGAATTGAGTTAGAAATTTAGTTAAATTTTAGCGATATTCTTGAGGAATCTGGACCTTTAAAGATGATTCCACCTTTAATGGAATGTTAAGCTTATGGGTTTTGGGGAGGCCATTTTATTTTATACCCACATCGGATGGTTTAAATAAGGAAAGCCAAATCTTATCTAGATTACATAAGTTTCTTAGAATTTACCTATGAACTTGAATCTAATAATTCCTTACCTTTTTTAGACATACTACTCATTAAAAAAAAAATAAATTAGAATTCAAAGTATATCGAAACCTACATGTAAAAATGACTATTTACATTTTTACTCTCACCATGATACTAACACTAAGAGGGGTATTGTTATTGGATTCTATTTAAGGGCTCTTCGCATCTGTTCATCAAAATATTTAAATGATGAATTCACATATATTGAGGATACCTTTTCAAATCTTTCGTATCCGAGACAATTATTACAGAGAGCTAAAAATAAAGCGTTGAAAATTCACTCATCAGCGCAAAATGACACCTCGAAGGCCACTACAACTACATCAATGAAAGATACAATTTCAGCTGCCTCTGATAATATTTCGTTTGGTCCATCTTTTTACCAAATAACCATTTGACCGAACGTATCTCTCATAATCTAAATGCATTAAAATTAGAACTACTATATTACCTACTAGAACTATCCGTAGTTTATTAAATAGCACCAACAGACAACATATTAGATCCGATGCTTGCATCTATCAAATATCATGCAAAAACTGTGACCTAAAATATGTGGGTGAAACATGTAGGTCCGTAAAATCTCGTGTTTTTGAACATAAACGAGATATTAAGCCTCGAAATTTTAACAATGCTTTAGTTGTACACAAACTAAAGCAGATCATAATTTCGATTTTCGATTCCGTGAAAGTATTAAAATATTTTCATAATAAAAATCTCAGGAGGATTTATGAAGCAGTATAATATCCATCTCACGACAGTGAATACTAGACCTGGTTTCTTTAATATTTCCCCTTTTTAGCGAGATTGATGCTCGACAAGCATACACATAAAAATTTTAGAACCTAATAGAATTCTTTTCATTTTCTTTTTCATTTCAAAATAATCACAAACTTTTTGAATACGTTTTTGAAAGCGTCGCCCATGTGACAAACGTGACCATGTTAGACGGAAAGCTGATCGTTTTAAAAGTTTTCAGTTATCTGTTTTGGATAAGACTTGTGTTTTTTATGTCCATCATATTCAACTGTATTGTATTTTAATGAATATTGTCTTGAAAAAGGTTGATTAAACCGAAACGTCAGACGTCGACATTTCATTCATTTTAAACAACATTTAAGGATTTTGTTTGTTTTTACAAAAATTTTTCTTCATTCTGTCGGATTTATATCCATTTACACTTGCTTATATATATATATATATATATTCAGTTGTATGGATATGGGTTTGTTACCCTGGGTTTCACGCGTTTGTGATCATCAGACAAAATGGTTTATCTTTTTTCAATTGGATCTATTTATGATTGTTTATGTTTGACTATGTTTGGTGGTAGGAGGGGGAATTTCTTTTGTGTTTGTTTGGGATGACACTCTCACACATATAGACATACATACATACAGGTGTATGCATTTTTGTTCACACAAACACACCCATGTATGTTTGAACATATCGATGTGTACCTGTGCCTAATCTTGGATTGTTTATATGGGTGTGAACTAAAATCTGTACACCTGTATGTATGGGTGTAAGAGTGTCATCCCAAGCATACACAGAAGAAAATTCCCTCTCCTATCACCAAACAATCATAAGTAGATCCAATTTTAATAAACCAATTTGTCTGATGATCACAAAAGTGTGAAACCCAGGATCACAAACTCATATCCATACAACTGAATATGTTAGCGCTATCACTGATATTGAGCTCTTTCCACTAAACACTGCACATGTAAAATAAAATATTATATATATATATATATATATATAAAAACAAGTTTGTTTTAAAAAACTGTGTCAAAAAGGACTGTTATTTCTTTGACACTGCTACTATTGCTGTATTCACTTTTGAGTCTCTCAGCAATGTTCATTTACAAGATTATGAAAATATGTGAACTGAATACAATGTGATTATTTACCTTTTATAAAGAAATAAATTTGAAAAGAAATCTTTTTATTCAGAAATTTATTAGAAATTATCAAAATATTTAAACCAACTACAATGCAATATTTATTATTTACCATTTTATAAATAACTATGAAAACAAGTTTTTTATTCACAATTAATTGCTAAATAAAAAAAAAATACCTAGAAAATCTGCCGAGAGATCAAATAAGCAATTTAATAAATAGTGTTTAATATTTTTGTTATCAATTTGCAAGAATAAAGAAAACGTATAAATCCACTTTCATATGTTTGGGTTTTGTTAAATTCTAATCATTGCTTTATAAAACAATAAACATTGCCGAGGGAGTCAAAAGTGTATAGAGTAACAGCGGTGTCATGGGGGTAACTGTCCCTTTGAGGCACCATTTGTTTGCAGACACAAAGCTTAAACATTTCAGAAGGTATATTACTTCAGACATATTTAGAAAAAAATATTGTTAGACTTCTATATGTCATCAGAGAAATTGAAGGTTATCCAATTCTTTCTGGTGTTACTTCCTCCCACTCCCAACTCAATAGATTGTCATTAACATTAGAAAAAGACGTGTCACACCTGCAGATTAAAATGAGTTTGGATCTGGATCTCAATGTAAGGTCTCTCAATTTCTCCTTGGGAATGTCAGCAACCTGGAGAACCCGTGTCAATCTGAACAAAGAATTACTTCCCCTCTTAATTTGTTTTTCATATTTTAATCCAATATGATTTCCATAAAAAAAAAGGACATTTCCTGAAATGACCAACTTACTTTCATCTTTTGTGGCATTCCATCCAACCTTGGCAACCACTTTTTCAAACAGTTTACGAGCAAATGCTTTATACTCTTCATAATAATCTGTGTACTGCAGAAGCAAAGCAATATTGGCAAGGTTTCTGGCAAGGTCATTCCATACTGTGTAGTTGTCTTCATTAACGTAGGCCTGTACCAACTTCAAAACTTCAACTGTAGGCACCATACCAGCACGAGACTAAATAGAAAAAAAAAACACAAAATTAGTATAAGAAAAAATTCCATTTCATTATTTCCTTCTATGATAATTTTTTTTATACCAATCATTCCTCTTTTCCAAATATAGACAATTTAATTGAACTAACATATAAGTTACAGGAGAGTAATGGATTGCAGCTCAGATTGAGTAATTGGAGAGCAGAGATTGAATTCCAGTTTAGTTCATTACATTCACTTACATGATAATACCCTTAGGAAAGGTATAATCCCAACTCTTTTCTCCTCTCAGTTATGGGTAAATAGTAGGACAGACCGAGTTCTATAGCCTTGGGTGGCAACCAGTTTAGAGTAAAAGTTTCTGCTAAAGCTTATACTATGCAGCTAAGGAAAGGATTGTTCACATTGGCTCAATGATCCTGACTAAAGTCGACTCATCTTTTTACAAAAGTCCATCAACAGCACTCAATCTCATCAGTATCATATAGGTACCTCCACGAAATCGCTAAAAAAAAGAGCATAGCTTGATGAAAAAGATGCCAACCTTGCCGAAAACAAAATTTTATTGTCTAAATGCTTATGTTATTATTAAGAGGAAAGACCAAAGTTTTTTTTTTTTTTTTTTTTTTAATTATTTTTAAAAAATTTTCCTTCTTTTTAGAACATTCTAAATTTTGATTAAAAAAACCTTGTTTCTATTTGTATCAGCGGAACTAGTAAATAACAGACAATTTTTAGCACGTTTTTTGGTATGACACATTAATTTGAAAAATCGTGCAAAAAATAGAAATAATTATCGGATGTTAATGAAACTTTCAGGAACTATTCACAGATGATCGAAATTATTATAAATATGTTTTTTTTTATGAAAGTCATGGTAGAAATATTTTTTTAAAATATTTATTACCCTCCCATAACTAATTTTATGAAAATGCTAGAAATTCGATCGCATCAGTTTTAGTGATTACAATAATTAAAAGCACAGGGCTTTGAGGAATGCAAATCATGTTTTTTTTTTTTTTTAATTGGATCCGCAGTACCTGAAAATCAGCTCTGAATTGTAACATACAAAACTCAATAAAACAAAGATATTATTTAATTTCAAATGCTTTTATTTGCTTTTAGTTGTTTTTATGAATATGGACAATATTTTCTGAAAGCAAAAAAATTTTTTCGATGAAAAATGAATTTTAATACAATTATTTGTTATTTCATTAATTATAATAGATTTTACATTTAAGTTGTTAAAATATTATAAAATTAGTTAAAAAAGTCAATTCATCGGCTTTCATAAGTGTCCTTATGAGATCTTTTTTTTTAGCGTTGTAAATTGTATCATTTTGACTAATCAGAAGATCCACAGTAATTAAGAAATGTAATTTTGTGCTTATAACCGAGCTGTAATTATAAAGTACGGAAGACCAACCAGAATATAATTAAGTTGCGTTATTTGAGTTAAGCATTGTTCTCCGCTGTTAAGGCCTTTACTTTTACCCGAAACACGTGTGGAGAAGTTAATTTGATTTTTCAATTTCAACTGAGAAGGGTACCTACAAGTATCAGTATCATCTTATGAAATTTATATGATTTTTATATTAATCTCAGTTACGACATTTTTCCATAAATGAAATATCAAAATTAATAATAAAATGAATGCAAATACAAATAACAGTAAAATGTAATAAATGTACATAAAATTATAGTATTTTATGTACAATTCTGATAAAATTTCATAAGAAAAGGTACCTATAAATTAATTAGATACCTTTCTTAAGAAATATGAAATTTAATGTCACTCTTAACAGTTTTATTTTAATTTCTTTAGAATATATTTCCCATAAAGCATCATAAACGTAAAGGTGAAAGCTAAGTACAAAAAAAAAAAAAAAAAAAAAAAAAAATTAGACCGCTGAAAGTTTTCATTAAAAATAACGAGGTAAATAATTTGTTCATGTAAATGTAAATTATTTCACTTTTCTCCTTCCGTAGAACAAATTAGCCTCATGGAATTTGTAAATATATCATTCATCACATGTCAAGAGACGCGAAAGTTTATGATCTGCTTTGTTTTATTTTCAAATTACATCTTTTTGGCACAAAAGCTAAGTTAAGTTTGGTTCAAAATATTTTAAATAGACATTATAATTTCTGATTTTCTTAAAATAAGCTTTGAAAAAATGATAATTGATATTTAAAAAGATTTCAAAGTCAGATTTCCAGTTTTTTTTTAAAATGGAAAAAAATGGTCAATTTTGCTGACTCAAAAAAAAAAAAACTAGATTTTTAACGAAAATTTCGGACGTGCTAGGAACGATTAAAAAATGGAAAAAAATACCCCAAAAATACTTTGACCTTTCCTCTTAATAATAACAAACATTTAGACGATAAAATTTTGTTTTTCGTCAAGTTTACGTCTTTTTCATCATGCTATGCTCTTTTTTTTAGCGATCTCGTGGAGGTACCTATATATATATATATATATATATATATATATATATATATATATATATATATATGAGCTTTTTTTTTTTTTTTTTTTTTTGCATTTTCTGTTACATTTTTTTATCTACAGGTACCAACGAGATATTCAGTGATTCTTTTAATGTAAGAACAATTTTAGGAAATCAATTGAAGCTAAAAATCAACCCATAAAAGGTTTTATTATCTAACTTGGATATTTATAAAGTTGGCATATAAAGCCAGATTTCGTAATTGACCTCTGGAGGTCAATGTGTTAAAAACTTGTCACATAAGCAGCTTTTAGTAATTTCCATTTATGCAATCTTTCTTTCTTTTTTCAAACATGCAAATAAAATGAGAAATCTGAAACAAAATTAATTTTTAAATAAATTGTTATTAATTAATATTTTAATCAAGTGTTGTTAATTGTCCAAAGTCATTTAAGAATCCGAGAGAAAGAAACTTACCAAGGCAAAAAGATCGCTCTCAAGTGATAATCTGTCAGTGGGTGGAAGGCTTTTATCCTTAATTCCTGCCAAAAGGCAGTTGAGCATTTCAGTACTGTACTGGATGCGGTACACACCAACTGAACCACAGTTCAACTGTAAAAAGAATATTCAATTTTATTTATTTTGGAAATTGATTTTTGAGCTTTATAATTTTTATATTAACAACTATATAATTACAATCTGAAAAAAGTAAAATCTTAGAAATTAGATTTCCATGAAAAATGTCTCAGAGCACATTAATAACTTGCTGTCATATATGGTCTGGTGCCCCCACTGTAATTCTTCAGGTTCTCGGATGGATATGCAATGTGATAGGTCCTGATCTGGCATCTAGTCTACAGTTACTTTCTCAGATGTACCATGGCTTCCCTCTGTCTCTTCTATAAGTATTTTCATGGCAACTGTTCTGATGAGTTGCTTTCTCTAGTTCCCAGGCTGCATGAATTTAAGCAAGCTACTAGGTTGGCATCTCAGTCCCACACTTTCCCTGTTGAAACGGTTAAATGTAACCATCTCTTCTACTCAAACAGCTTCTTCTCTCGCACCTCCCGTCTGTGGAATTCTCTTCCTTGCTTCCCTGATAACTATAATCTTCAAATATTCAAGTTGTAGTAAAATTAGGTCCAAACAATAGGAAAGGAACGGGTTGGCCCGGCACCGCCTACTTCCGGAAGAAACAAAACTCCTCAGCTTCAAGACAGGTTGCTCAAAACAATCTAGCTACAAAACTCCATAGATCTTTGCACTCAATTATTCCAACACCGCCTCATAGTTCGCTACACACAACTCTGTTGAGTGGTCTCCCGCCGTCACATTTATGCCAGCGAACACCAACCAATTTGCATACGGCCAAGTTCACCTCTCACCAATTCTCGCGGCTACAAGATCGCGTTTCCCATAAGTCCGACTCACCGTAATGGTGGTGTTTCTTCCTTCGGACCAATTACTGCCCTGCACGCCAGACAAACGAACCCTCTTATGTCGAGAGCTAAGGTTAGTCTCACTTTCATGTCCACACAAGTGCAATGTCAATTGACATCTGATACCTTGATTTGTCCTCCCAGCCTTCTCTTTATCCTCTCCCCAAACATGCCTCTATACTCTTTTTCTCTACCCTCTGTAACCTCTTGCATGCTAGTGGCACTCCTGCCTTGGTTGGGGTGAAATGTTAAAAAAAAAAAAAAAAATGTCAATAACTAGCAAAAACTGAATATACCCATAGACATAACAAGGTAGCGACATATGTTCATTGGAAGTTATGCAAGAAGCACAAAATTGAAACCAGATGGTATGAGCACCAACCAACTACAGTTACCCAAAATAACGATGTAACTATCCTCTGGGACATACCAATTCAAACTGACAGGGAAATAAAAGCCAACATATATTATCATAAAAGACAAGAAATTCAGGAAGTGTATGCTTATTGACATAGTAGCACCATCTGAGAGAAACACCTCCATGAAAATTGAGAAATTGTCCAAATACAATGATCTGGAGATCAAAATTAACAGGATGTGGGGAATGAAAAGTGAGACTGTACCAATAGTAATCAAAGCTCTGGATCTTGTGAGAAAAGGAATAGACAATTTTATTACTATTGTCCCAGGTAACATTAACATACAAGTTTCCCAGAAAATTGCCCTACTAGTAACATCCCATATACAGATCAGTGCCAATAAACCTTGGTAGTTAGATCCCAAAACTGCGGTTTAGATCAAAAGTGAGCCAATGTCAGGATTGTCAGCTTAGACTAACAAAACAAAATCCATGGAATTATTCGTGAACACAGTGGCTAAGCATGCAAAATGCGTATTTAATACTAGGAGTTGAGTATTGGCAGTTTTGAAAAACATTTATTAAAACTATCCTTTAATTTCACATAAAAATCTGCACCAATGTGAATAAATTTGAAAGATGATAACCTAAAATGATTCCAATTATAAAGTTCCATGTCAATAGATCCATCATCAATGACAGTAAAAGATGATGGAAATCTTGTACACATGAGATTTTAACAAGAAAAAATAATTTTTCTATAGTTTTATTGAGATTTTGAATAAAAAACATTACAATATATTGTATTGTAGTGTATTAATAAAAATAATATAACAGTATGATGCAGTAACATCTATTCTAATATGAACATGACAAAAACTTTTGGAGTTCATTGCTCATGTACAGCATAAGCGACATCGTGGTTTATTGGTGTGTGGCTTAATGGCACTGACCTGTACTAAGAAAAGTGCTATCAATTAAATGACAATTCTATAAAGCCTAAGGGCCATAGTTTGTACCCGGTTCTACAGGATACAAAGCAGGAAATATAACACACACAAATGATGACAATAATAATAATAAATCATCAACGGTGGTTGCCTGTTCCCAAGTACACCTGGCTGCTAAGGTAGATAACAAATCTATGTTTAGATGCCTACATTGAAACATTTTGTTTCAGGACCCACAACGTCACCCTGTGGTCTATACTGCAACTATGCCACAGTTTTTAGGAGAGAGCACACTCTGGTGTGATGAACAATAGAACAAGGTCAGTATACTCAAGCATTTGATAATAAAAAGAAAGAAAAGCTGCTTTAGTGTAATTAAATAGTTTAGATTATCCTGAGAACCAAATAACAAGGCTTTTCATGATGTACTTAAATTGGTTGCTTGAACCCATATAAAAGATATATACAGCTAGACGTAAAAAATGTTCATTATTTACATTATTCGAACTATTGTCCTCATCTGTCGCCATATTTATTAGGTTTTAGCCGTTGTATGCTCCAGTCTTTTTCAGGAGGTTGGAATGTCAAACTGAACATAGCACAGTGGATAAAGGCGTTGGTTAGATCTAGTGACAGGACCCAAAGAGTGTGAGTTCAATACCCGGTTAATGCAGTGGAGAACTTGGAGAGGGGAATTAACAGATAACCGATAACTGAATCTATTAAACATGGTATATGGAACTAGAACAGTCTACACCAGTGAGCTAAATAAAGGGTTCAGTTCGACATTCCCACCACCTGTGTTCATAATACTTCATCTCAGAAATATAGACAGGTAAAAACGTTATTTAAAACAGACAAATACTTGTGCATTACTACAGTGGCCACTAGTAGAGAATGAGTGATATGTTAATATAATATCATTTTTGGAACATAATTTGTAAGGATTATGTGCATCTGATTTAATTAAATGCCTCCTATTTCATTACTGGCCAAATTGGCAAGAATATAGAGAAGCAAAATCAGCTTTCAAACAAAGTACAGACTGTACAAATTGCTGGTAGTCTCCATTCTCCTATATGGATGCGAAACATAGACACTGTTGGCAGAAACAGAGAGAAGGATCCAAGTATTTGAGAACAAATGCATGAGAAAACTCTTTGGCATCTTATATTGGGAACATAAAACCAATGAGTTTGTGTTGAAAAGTGTTGAAAGTTTTGTGGGCCACCAGGAACCTCTTCTCGCCACTATCAAATGGAGAAAAATGGCGCGATTTGGACACATTACAACTCACAACAGCCTGTGCAAGGCACCCTGTAAGGTGGATGTAGGAGAGGGTGCCAGCATAAAAACTGGTTGGACTGTCAAACAATGAACAAGTATGTCTATACCAGAATTGCTGATGGCTGCCATTGATAAACCATCATGGAGGAGATTTAGTGTGGCTTCTGCATTCAGATCCCACCCACTACAATTACAAAGGCCACGGGTATGATGATGATGATGATGATTTCATTACATCGATTGACAATGCCAGAAGTGGATGCTGGCAGTATGGTAGTAGCAGGTGAACATTCCCACCAATAGTCTATATTTTTTCTTTTAAACCTTACAGTGGCAGTTTGGCAAAATTGTGTCCGACATGAACATGCATAAAAAGCAAAGGGTCCAGGCAGGGGAAAAGAAAAAAGTACTCATTGATATTCACTGATGTTTGCTTAATGATTAAAGTCCAAACAGTGCAGGTGAGCACAATGACTAAAGATCAACTTTCTTTAGTAAATAAGAAATTTTATCTTAGTGTTTTGGTCAGTGGGCTAAAAGGAAATAAAAAGGCTGACAAGAAGTTAAAATTGATTCAAAGTAATTTCAGTTGAGAGTTGCTGGGTTCTGGTGGTATAATTATATGTCCTGAGAACGGTCAGCTCTGAAGTAGATTTCTACAACAACTGACTTTGCCAGCCAATTTGCTTAATTATTTTGGTATCAACTAACAAAAACCTGAACGAAGACCTCCCTCCCAAACTTTGTCAGGCCATTGGACCACCCCAAAGACTTTTTTGAAGTCTTTGATCTAAATGACCCACAACTCTGAGAAGTTTAATTAGAAAAGGAAAGTTCATTTAACACTGGCAAAAATGCATAGCCAATTATGATGAATGTGGAAAAATAGAGTTTTGTTGCTGAAAATTTGCTATTGTGCTCCCTGTATCTATTGCAGTTCCCATGGAAATAAGTAAAAATGTCATATGGCTACACAGATGATTTACAATCAGTAGTTCTTCAAAAATATAATAGACAGAACTTTAAAGATTTTATTCAACAGTCAAATCAAAAAGCACCTTTTCCAGCTTATAAATTTCTGTAGATGTGTAAAAATGAAGTTAATAGATTAATGATAAAATAATTGCATAGGAAATGATTTTATAAACTAGTGATAGAAAAATTGACAGTAGCACTGATAGTTTGTATTGAGGTGTTTAGTAACAAGTTCAAATTATCAACTCACCAAAACCCAATCAGTTGGCTCAATATCTTCCAAGGTAACTTCCATTTCTTTTTGATCCATCAATATTTTCTTGATGGGTTTCTTTCCACTTGACAATGTGGAAATATCAATTGGAATCATCCACAGTGGAGATGTACCTAATAAAAATGAACCAATATTAATAAAATGAAAGTTAAATAGTTCATAAAATTTACTAGATTTATAGAAAGATTAAAACATTTGTTTTCTGAGATAATCTATAAACTTTGTTGACTACTAATATTGGGCAGACTTAAATTTTAAAAAATACAAGAGCAAAATATAAGGCGAGCAAAAAAGTACATGCTGATGTTTTTTTTTTAACATTGTGTGGAAAGAAGTGCTCACTGATATGCAGATGAGTGTGTCATATGCCGGGGAAAGTCATGGGGTGGGGCAATGCACTTGACTAATGCAGGTTGCACACACACACACACACACACACATTATGGCTCAAGCAGTAGCAGCTAAACAAGCTGGTGTCGAAGCAGCTTGTTTGGGGTTGTCTGTTTTATGACTTTAAGGTGGGATTGTCTGCAGCAAGTTGCCAAATATGTCCAGCCTTTGTAGATAATGCTGAGAGTGAATGCACTTCCAGGCATTGATTCCAGAAATTCAGGTCAGGAGATCTGTCCCTTTGTGATGAACACCACAGTGGCCAGCCACAGGTCCTGGATGAAGAAGCCCTAAATGTGACCAGAGAGGAGGACAACAGTCAAACCTGTGCCAAGCTTGCCAAACACTTCCAGGTTTCTGAGAAACAGATTTCATCTGAATTGCATAGGGAAAGCATACAAATTGAGCAAGTGGGTACCTCGCACTCTGGCAGAAGCTAACAAGTAACAATGAATGACATCTTGTTTCTCATTGTCTCCTTGGTACTGCAACATACATGTATTTGATTGAAGGCTCACCAGTGACAAAAAGTGGGTTCTGTATGACACTCCCAAGTGTGCCAGACATTGGTTGTCACCACAGGACCATGTGCCTCACACCACAAGACCATCTCTAAATTCACACAAGATCAGGCTCTGTATCTGGTGGACAAGTCAACAAGTTGTGCACTATGAATGGCTACCAACAGGCCAAATTATCACTGCAGACATGTACTCAGCAGTTGGAATGTATGCAACAGGTACTGAAGCAGAAGGTGCCAGCATTGGTTAATTTCAAGGGTATACTGTTCCTCCATGACAATCCCAGGCATACTATATGGCGACTTCACTGGGAGACACTGTACCATCCACCTTACTCTTTGGACCTTGTGGCAACAGAGTATCATCTCTTCCATTCTACAGACTTTGTAAGAAATCCTTTGCAAATGAGGCAGACTTGCAGCAGTCACTCACAGATTTCTTTCTGTACAAGACACCAGGTTTTTACCACCAGGGCATTGTACAGTTGGAGGTACATTGGCAAAATGTTTAGGATATTGATGGGAATTACTTTGAAGACTAACGGTATGTCAAATTTGCTGCATACTCTTTTTTTTTTTAATAAATCAAAAACAGCAAGGACTTTTTGAATTACCTTGTAGAATGAATATAATATTTAATATCTACTTGTATATGAAATACTATCTCACTTTTTGAAATTTATTCCAAAATTTGAGAAAATATTCCTGATTTTGTAAAAGATAATATTAAGAGAGAAAATTTACCATCAATTTTGCCATCAGCACAGAATTTCTTCTGTGACAATTTCAATTTCTTTTTCTTCTGTTTCACTCACCTAGAATTTCAATATAAAGTGTATTTAGGCAGCAAGAATTCATTTTCCCCATTCTCTTGTTTATTTTATTTTTTTATATTGTATCCCACCCCCGCCAAATTTTAAATGTTTACTGGGATCAAAATTATGGATAAACTATTGAAAGACTATGTTTTGTTCAAGTACTTTCAACTATCTAAGTCATTAACAAGAATCAAATGTATAGTAGACAAGATCTGTTGACTATATTATGGCAAAAATTTCTCAATGACTGGAACAAATTCAAAGTGACATATCCTAAAAAAAAAAACAAAATATATATATATATATATATATAATTATTTTATAAAAAATTTATAACATAAGTATGTTATAAAAATCACTACAAAATAGCCATTTTTGTTTCAACACACTCTGTGTCTTATCAAGTTTGTTGAAAAAGAAAATAAATTTTTAAAAGTTTTTTAACATCCTACACTAGGGGGATTGTTACAAAAGCTAGAATAACCAATCAAAAAACGAAGTACAGAAAGATTTTGAAAAATCCTGTTTATAGCTATTTAGGGATCTAAAATAATTATAAATTTATATGGATTTTAAAAATCTTTAATCACTGTTTAAAAACTATGTATTTGTTTATTCAATTCATTTCTTCATTGAAATTACGTCTTACAATTAAACCGGTCATCTATAATACATGTATATATTTTTTTCTTTCCGTTTTATTTTAAAGTTTGTGAATATGGTCTTAAACTCATACACAACAAAAACACAATCAGATTATAAATCCAGACATAATTAGATACATACACACACACACACACACACACACAAATATACACACACAAAAAAAAAAAAAAAAAAAAAAAGGAAGAGGTGGGGGAATACATGAACAACTCCACAAGAAAAAGGAGACGTCACACACACAGTTAAATGTGAATACACTCTACATACACATAGACACCGATGAATCCACAATGGCATAGACATTGAGAAATCACAACCAGTAAATATTTCAGACTTAAATAAATGCTAACCACTTATTGAATTATAACAAAAAAATGTTTAAAATTTTATTTAATATATTAAAACTCTCTAAAACAATAAATATCAATAAAAATATATATATATTATTAATCATATAAGTTGATAATATTTCATTATATATTTTAAAAAAAACAGGATAAACAAATATATAATATATATATATATATATATATATATATATATATATATATATATATATATATATATATATATATATATATATATATATATAAACTATTCACATTAACTGTCCCTTTAAATTTAAACATTGTATACATATCTATGATAACAAGATTGTTAAATTTCCTAAATACACACACATATCTAATTCCATGTTATAGATGATATAGTTTGTCTAATATATTATATTATTATATATATAGACAAACTGTTCATTTCTTGTCAGTGATTGTTAAATTTCCCTTCTAATTCCATAAGAATTAATTATTCAACTGTTCATTCTTGGGTTAAATCTTTAGCATTAAATCAGTCCTGTAAATATCAGCTCTCAATGTCTCACTGTTTGTGGTCAAAATCTCAATGCTTACATGACTTCCTGCTTGAGTGTTGGATTTGTTTGTTTTTTTTATGGATTATCAATCTTTTACAGGGTATTTAAAGCCATAAAATTATATTTTAATATTCTAAGAAATTTTGGAGGTAATGATTTACTGATATAAGTTCTCCTAATTAACCCATAGCTGGGGAAGAAGAGGTGGATTCATTTGCATGGATTTAAATTTAAGCTTACAGCATCATGTATTCACAAACTGTGACCTATCTAAGTACTGACCAGGCTTGACATTCAGTGATATGAGAATTGGTGTTTCAACGTGATATGGCCATTAGCTGTCACGTCCAGTGTTATTTGTGATGATATAATCATATATTATGGTCGAGTATACATGATGCGGGGTAAACATAGAGAGTCGATAATTATGGCTGGTTTTGGGTGGGTTGAATGCTAAAAGGTTCAAACTTAGAACTATGATAAAAATTAAAAAAAAAAAAACAAAAAACATTGAACTGAGTACAATTTGTCTATAAGAACTGTTTCAATGTGATATGGCCATATATATGGGTTGAGTTGAACATTGAGAGCCGATATTTATGGGTGGGTTGAATGCTAAAGGGTTAAACTTAAAAGTATGATCAATGAAAAAACAAAACATTTAACTGAATACAGTTTGTATATCACCAAACATTGTTTTGAATAAAAAGTTAAACTATTCTGAATGTATTGACAACTTGACATTTAGTATTTATCTGTATTTGTGTAGCATTGATACATAAGAGAAAAGCAGTTTGGTGATAAAGAAATTTAACATGAACAATATTCTTACATTTTTGATATTTGGGACAAAGAATTTTCATTCTACTTTGATTTCTTCAAACAAGTGTTCTCATCTTCAGTTGTTATAGATGATATAGACAATGTTTCGACCATGTTCACTCTGGCCATCTTCAGATGTCCATTTTTGCCTAGATCTCTTTCATAAGCTGATTGTGCTATTTCATCCATATGATGCTGCTTTTGTTACTTGTGCCTATTGAACCAGGGAATATAGATTCCACCACCTGATACAGGGATTGAACCCAAGACCGGGTAACTTCAGCACTTTGACCAAACATATATCCTCTCAGCTATGAAATGGTGATTTTTGGAGCATTTAACATTCAATGTCAGCTGATTCAAGATTTGTTATCATAACAAGTTATAACATTTCTAATAACCAAACCGGGGTTGGGAACTAAATCAAAATATAAACACGGGAAATACGATTATCTCAGCAACCCCCACCCCTTTTTACAATGCTGACAAAAATAAAATTGCTGCAATTTTGCAATCAATTATTCCTTAATATGATAAATCAGGTGTCTGGCCCCCACATCAGCTTAGATTACAAATAAAACAAGAATTTGTAGATACAGTTATGAATATTAATTTAGAATTGTATGCAGAAAACATATTGTTAATCTTTGAACATTGTTAGCACTAATGGCATTGATAGAATCATTTTTATTTTCATAATTAGGTAGAACTTTCATTAAATGGAAAATAAAAAGATAGAATTTTTCCTGGATTTGGTTAAAGTCAATACAGTCTATAAGTATATGCTTGATTATATCAGGGCAAAACTAATTGAAGACTCAATTCAAATATTAGAACAGAATTTGATTTTTGGTCAATTTTTAATTAGAAAAGAAAATCATCCAGAACTTTTTATGAGATAATTCTATGAAGCTGTTAAGAGATTAACAAAAACAAAGCAAATATGTGTGTGAGAGAAAGTTAATAATGTGAACGTTTTATTGAAATTTTTAAATTGAAATTCCTGGGATTAACAAAACAAAAGTTCTTAACTTACATTTACAACTGGGTATCCCATCTGGGATGTCCAAGTACTCATCACTGCTTTGATGGGTTTTCCACTGGCTGTCTCCAGACAGTTCCACAAATCTTCTGTAGCTGCATTCTTATACATGAATTTGTTTAAATACTGGTTCATGCCTTTTCTGAAATCCTATCAATACAAAATAATCAAGTTATACACAATTTCATGTACAGGAAGCAGAGAAAGATGCAACTGAAATCTCAAATCCCAATTTACATCTTAAATAGTAGATAGGTTTGCCTATCGTCTGGTTCACACACTTCTCTGGCCTTTTGAAGAGGAGCAGGGATTTATTCCTTGTTTCCTGTTTAGGATTGGGTTTTTGGCTTCTTCTAAAGTTTTTTCATTCTCTTTTACTCCTAGTAGACCCGTGAATCTTAGTGGCATTATCACCTTGCTTGGGGTGAATTGATAAAAAAAAAAAAAAAAAACAGTTAAGTAGAAGAGAAAAGGAAATGTAAATTTTTTTTTTTTTTTTTGAAGAGCTGAGAATTTTTCATTACACACCCCCTTGTATCATATATAAAATAAATGACTGTCAAATTGTTTAAATCTATTGGACTGCTTTAATTATGGCACTTTCACTAAGACCATTTTATGGCATATGCAAATCGATCAAACAAAAATAAGTGCAATACAATAATGGAGTGGCGGGAAAGAGACTTAGCCTACACAACAAAAGGTAATCCTTGCTTATAAAGCATAAGTGTTAATAAAATTGATTAAACGATTAAAAAAATACTAGCCAACTCTCAGTGTTATGAACAGTTCTTTTAATAATAATTCAAAAGATAATGTTATTTATAGTAACTGGATTTTTGCTGATTGCCATATTCAGTTTCCATAGTTCAGTACTGTGTCTGAAAAATGGTGCTTTTATTGTTGTTGCTTTGCTTCTTGGTCTTTTGGCTGGGATCAAAGTGTAGTATCTGCTCTCAGGTGGATAAACTAGATTTCATCTCAGTTGTGCCTGTCTTTGGACAGAGAGCAATTGAAAAGATTGAGAGGTGCTCAGTCTCAATAAACAGCTGTATTGCCCTAAAGAGGGGAATCAGTAGAGGCTATTTTTTGGGATCTGACTGGGTGCATGTGATTGGGTTCCCCAACACTAAAATAGGTCACATGTTGCCAGTGTGGTGCAGCAAGAAACGACAATCACTTCTCAACCTCTTGGCTAAGATCAAAGTGTAATATCTGTTCTTATCAGCTTAATCTGATTCTCTATCCCACTCTTTATTTTCCCTTCTTTCTTTCATTTTCTTGCTGAAACCAAGTAGTGTCTTTCCCATCAACCTATGTAAGTCATCTTAATATCGAATCCTTTATTTAGCATACTTAGGATTTGTAAGAAATATACATTATCTTTCTTTGATGTGTTTCTGGCTGTCACTTATTTCCTATATTTTCAAGTTGATCATAAAATACAAAAAAGCAATAAGATTTTACTTAAAACTTACATCATCTTCAATGTAGTTGTGCAACATACGAATAACAGAAGCTCCTTTGCAGTAGGAGATGGCATCAAAGATTTCATCAACTTCTGATGGGTGACCAACTGGAACCTGGAATGACAAAGTTCATTATTTTTTATAATCCAACAAAAACTTTCCTTCTTGAACAGAGGTAACAGGCGGTATTGCCTTGCCTCTTGTTGTATTAATTCTGCTCCATTTATCAGTGCAATTTTAAAAGAGTGCAGCAGCAGTCTATATATCTAAAATGGTGCAATGGAGAGGAAAAGTAAAAAAAAAAAAAAAAAAAAAAAAAAAAAAAAAATTTCAGTAAATTTATGTGATTAGCATTGCTCCTGACTATAGTTCAGCTGTATTTTAGTCCATATGTAGTATTATTAGTGGCATTCTTAACATCATTATATTGCATTTTAAACCATATGTAGTAGTATTAGTAGTAGTGGTGGTATCATCATCATCATCATAAATATATAGATAACATTTTTACAAGTAAAATTTTCTTTATTTGATAGGTTCTCTTTACAAGTTTTTATCTCTCCAATAATGTAACTTCTATTACTTTACATTGCAAATAAATCAAACTTTATTTTAATACATCTCATCTCAAAATTCTATGCTACATCAATATTTATATAAGTATCAAGAAGCATCAAGAAATAAATAAAAATCTCCAGGTGGGTCTTGCAACCTCTTTTCAGAAGAACCTCATTGAGGTTTCCTGTTAGTATAAGCAGTGAGATTGTGTCCATCACAAACTTGTTAGGCCTGTCACGTAGCTTACAGCATCTGACATTACCCAGCAGTTAGCCATTTGAGTACTGACCAGGCTCAACATTGCTTAACTTTGGGGATTAAACAAGAACCAGTGTTCGAATACGATATGGCCATAACTGTATCCAATTATAGCCCATAGAAATTTACAGATCAAAATAACTGCCTGATAAACAGGACCATAAAGAATGAGAAGAAGAAGAAGAATAAAGACAACTTGTTATTTACCTCAATTGGATGACTGGTGTGAAGGGCATCAAGCTTCAAAGCTGCTGCAAGGTCAGTGTTAACAAATTGAGTCCAAATCTCAAAATCTGGAAACAAGTTGTCAACACAGAGATACTCAATCCAAGATGCAAAACCCTCATTTAACCACAAGTGGGTCCACCATTCCTGACAAAAAAATAAAAATAAAAAAAAAAATCCAAAAAAAAAAAAAAAAAAAAAAAAAAAAAAAAAAAAAAAAGCTTCCTACAAAAAAAAAATCAAAAAAAAAAAAAAAAAAAAAAAAAAAAAAAAAAAAATAACACCTAAGATCAAGGTGCAATTAAAAAAAAAAAAAAAAAAAAAAAAAGAAGCTATACAATAACACCTAAGATCAAGGTGCAATTAAAAAAAAAAAAAAAAAAAAAAAAAAAAAAAAAAATTATAAAAAAAATTATAAAAATAAATAGTTAATATTTTTCTGTATGTTAGTGTTCTTCAATAATGACAAAAAAATTATTTTTTTATGAATAATTTGTTTTCTGTAACTGAACAAACCGGGATTTAGTTTCCTTTTAAAAGTATGTTTAATTTTTCTGTCATTTGTAAATAAATAGAAGACATTTAAAACAAAGGTAACATCTTTCAGTGCAAAATTAATTAAAATTGTTAATTACTAAAGAATTTATCACAAATTTAATGTCAAAAATTACATTCAATAAATTTAGTATTTTACAACTATTAAAAATATACCACAAAAATGTAAAGGAGAAGACATTATTGGATTGTCAATATTGTCTTTCTCCTTTTGTACAATTTTTTGGATTATTCTAAACAGGTGAAATTTTCACACACAAAGTCATTTTTAAGAATTTTCATAAAGAAAGTCAATTTAATTTTTTCTTTATGCTATTATTCTTCATAATAACAAATATCTTGATTATAAAATTCATTTTTTAAGGAATAATTTGTTTTCTTTACAATACAAATATGTTGATACCATTCGTATAAGAAAAAAAAAAAAAATGAATGTAACTTTTTGCACTGATAATTTTTAAAAATTACCATACAGAAATTTGCGCATTTGAAAAAAAAAAAAAAAAAAAAAGATAAAAATACAATTTAATATTTTTTCTATGATGATATTCTTCATAGCAAACACTGATTTTAAAAACTTATTTATACATGGATAAAAAAAAAAATAATGTATGTTTAATTTTTCTAGCACTTATGTTGTTAAAAATATAAGACAAAAAATTAACCAGTTTAATATTTTTTTTAAATATGAAGTAAAAATATTAAACTGGTTAATTTTTTTTTTTTTTTAGATAATTGTATTTTATGGAGGAGAAAGTGATCAATCTGCACCCTCTGTAAAATATGACCATCCAAAAATTTTTTACGAGGGAGATTCAGTTCACTATGTAACTTCAACATAAAATGGATCCTGAGAAGTGAAACAATTTGGAAATCCTTAGGAACCAAATAATTCCTTAAAGACAACGGAAAGTAACAGAAGATGATAAATTCTCATATTCATACAAACTTTAAAATTCTTAATCCTAAACCCTCCAGATTTAGACTCAAGTTCATACACCTTTTAGGAGCACCATGTAAGTTTTACAAAATAGTTTGAGTTAATATTTTTTAATTTCAGTACCCTAAAATCTTTCTCAAAATGTCAAAAAAAAGTACTGTGTAACAGGTTGTCTTGGCAACTATGATTAAAAAAATATGGTTTGTATATTTTGTCTTTAAGATCAGAATGAGTGAGAACAATGGTTAAATGCAATTACCTCATGACAACACCACTGACAAACCAAACACTGTTTTTTTTTGTGAAAGGCATTTTCTATCTGATCATGAAACACTAGTTATTAGAGAAAAGTATGACCCAGAAATCCATCATTAATATTTGATCATTTGCCATGTGTATTACATAGTCCATAACTAAAACCAACAAACAAAACTTCTGCTTCAATGCAAAATGATGAGTTGGCAGTTTCTAGAAAAGGACAAAATCCTCATTTTTTAAAAATTGTATCTGAATATTGATCAACAGGATTCTGTTTCAGCAATTACATGTTATAAATCAAGCAATCAGCTGTTCATCCAATCTGTTGATTTTTTTTCAGTGTTTTTAATTAAAATTTTTGAAAACTTGGAGATTTGAATGTTACAATGCTTATATATATATATATATATAATTTTTTTTTTCTCTTTCAAGAAGTTGAATATCAGTGTTTCAGCAGTGGTCATAAATCAATGAAGCAATTTGTTTTCTTTGTAACTTAAAAACTGATAAGAAAAATTTTAAAAGAGCATATTAATGTTATGTCACCACAAAGGATTGGGACAAAACATGATTCTGATATTCTTATCAGGGCATTTGAATACTTTGTTACATCTCGGTCATAATATAACAGACTTTTGGATGATTTTAAGTTACCCAGTGTGAGAACATTATCAACTTTAACAACAGAAATTTCAAAATTAGATGATTATAATTTTCTTGGTGATATTTTAGTGAAATCACTGAAAATCAGAAAAAATTTAATCTTAGTTGACAAAGTACTACAATACCACAGAGGAAACTTATTTGGTTTGACTGAAAATTTTGAGGGATTAGCAACAACAGTATTGGGCATCATGGTAGAATGTTTAAATGGAGGACCAAAAATTTTATTTAAATTGATCCTAGTTGCAAAATTAGAGGCAAATTTTTTTTTATATGAAAATATTTGATATATTGTTGATGAAATTAGTCAATTGCAATTATATGTGACAATAACAGGGCTATCAATCTCTTTTTCCAAATATTTGACATTGTTTTTAATTAATAAATCTTCATATTTGCAGGGGTACATCCTCTAGCAGGTCTGGAAGTGTGTTCAAAATAAAGACCATGTAGACAGCTCCTGTAAGACATGCTGGAAGAACATATAGACCTACAAGACAGTCACCTACAATATATATATATATATATATATATATATATATATATATATATATATATATTAGATAAATGTTTATACCTTTTCAGATGTTCCTTGTATAATTGATTTTCAAACTAAAACAGTATATTCATCTACAAAATCATAGTTTCAATTACTACATTTTTAGTTTTCTCTGCTGGTGATCCTAATCATTGAAACATCACTGACAAATCCTCCTCTACACCAACAGGAAAGCATAAGCAGTAAACTCTGAGAAGAAATTCATTTTAAAATCCTGTCGAAAGAAAACAGATCTTGTAGTAGTAATAAATAGTAAGCAGTTACCATAGTAACAAGGTTACCAAACCACATATGTGCCAATTCATGACCAACAACAAGTGCTACCAATTGACGAGAAGTTGCAGAAGAATTCTCTGGATCAATAAGCAGGGCATTCTCTCTGTAAGTGACAAGACCCCAATTTTCCATGGCACCTAAAATAATAAAGAATAAGTTTTTAATTTACCAGCATTGAAAATACAACGTTTACCAGCATTGAAAATACAACGTTTACCAGCATTGAAAATACAATTTTCAATCTTAGGTTTTTCTCTTGCATTCTCAAAAAGTTATTTGATCTATTCACTCCACTGTTGAAGTATTTTTTCTTTTTTTATTATCAGAGATCCTCCCCTTTGATTTTATATTGGTTGACTCATCTTTCATCCTGTTAATTCTTTTTTGCATACTTGATGTATTTATATTGTTCATTCTCTCTATTTCTGTGCACTTTTCATTATTCTATTCCTCTTAGACAGTCTACATTTGTTTATAATTTCTATGTTTAGTGTTCAGTACTCTTTTCCATTCCTTGGCATTGTTTGCTGTCACTTTTTATCATCTCTAGAATTTCATCTGTCATCCATTTGTTTCTTTCTTGTCCCATTTTCCATGGTAGGATCTTGTTAGCTGACATCACTAGCATTTTTCTCGACATGTTCCACTTTAATTTCAGATTCTTATTCAGTTTATACTCGGCTTTGATCTTTATAGTTTAAATTTATGGTTAATATCTAGGATAGAGCATGTGTAAATATAACAGTGGACTCTAAAGTCAACATCAAGTGGCAACACTGTTTCATGTCTGAATGCAATCTTTATAGCCTGAAGATTGCGTTCAAGCATGAAACAGACTCTTGCCACTCAGTGCCCATTTGTGCATAATATATGTAAGATGTAAAAAAGTTTTAGCTTACTCTACCACCCACTCAATTTTTTTTTTTTTTTTTTTACTATGAAGCCTCACAGAGACTATTGTTACAAAGGGCAAAAGGTTCAGTTTATGCTTACAAGCAAGGTCAAGTGAGTTCATGCCTGACAACAGTCATTATCTAATAGATGACTTTCATTTTGGATGCTGGCCAGAGTGATAATGAACAAGTAAGTGCAGGCCACTGCTTATAAGTTTCATCCCAACTGAGTGCTCTTCTATCATGACCTTGTGACAAGCTAACTTAGTAATTAGGCACACAACACCACACTATTTTTTTGTTAATGTTATGATCAAAAAAAAAAATTTTAACGAGTTATTTTTGTTCATGCTGACTTCATAAAATTTCAGGATCAGATCTGATGAAAGTGAAATTGTCTGTTACTTTTTTTCTTTTTGTTATTATGATCTTTAGTTTCAGGAGTTTCATAATATTTAAGTCTTCCTTCGATTATGAGGGGTCAATATTTCAGCCTTGAAAATGGCTAAATGTATAGCTGAAAGTACTCAGATAAAAAGAACATTTGGACAGTTTTTATATAATCTATCATCTGAAAAAAAAAATGATGTGATCACATGGGAAATTGCATAAAAAAGTAAATCAAAGCACCTTATCTGTCAGAGTCAATGAAATGTGCATGAAAAAAGGATTGCTGCCTAAATACACAAATTATATATATATATATATATATATATATATATATATATATATATATATATATATATGTATGTATGTGTGTGTGTGTGTGTGTATATGTGTGCAGAATGCATAGAATGTTGTGTTTATTTTTTCTTTTCATAAATTTGTCTCCTCATACTTTCTCATTCTTTTATCTTTTCAGCTCTGAGTGCCAAAGATTGGTACTTGAAGAAACAGACGTTATTATTTATGAAATTAATGGAACTCACCGGAGAGGAAATCTGGAATGGCAATGAGGTCAATTTTTGGCAGAGGGTAGGCAATCTGGAAATATTCTTTGTAAAATGGCAGAGTTTTTACTGTCACCTACAAAAAATAAATCATATTCAAATGCTAAAATTATATTTAAGTGTTGATGGGCATAGACACCAGAGCTGTAAATAAATGTATTTCTTTTTTTAAATAGGTTTTAATTAAAATGGCAAGTTATATTTTGTTACTATTCAATAATTGTTAACTAATTTTCAATTTCTGAGATGAGGTATTGTAACTATTTACATTATTCAGACTGTTGTCATCAGCTTTATTGCTATATTCATGACATTTTGGCTGTTGTACACTCTGACCTTCTTCAGGTGATATATGTTGGAATTTTGGACTGAACCCTTCATTTAGTCCAAAGGGGTAGAGATTAATTGAAACTAAGGTATCCCAAAAAGGCATGGCATATGGAATTAGAATAATCTACCCCTGCGGACTAAAAGGGTTCATTCCAAAATTCCAGAGTATATCACCTGAAGAAGGTTGGAGTGTACAGTAACCGAAATATTATGAATACGACAATAAAAATGTGGACATGTAAATAATTTTCAGTTTTACTTTAGTGCACTAAATTTTTTTTTCATAGACTACAAAAAAAAAAAAAAAAAAAACATCACCTTTCACAGGTGTTGATATTTCATTTTAATATGATGTTACATTTGGGCTAATTTTGGATTAGGTATGTGCACTAAATTGAAAACAATTATTTATTTTATGTATGCCAAAAAAGTATTACTTTATTTCTGACTTGACAACCATTTACCAGATATATGGTCCTGGGGGCAGACAATGACTTGAATAAAACAGTTGATTAAATAGAATCAGCCTAATTAAAATAGATTGATTTTTTGATTTGTTTTCTACAGCTTATCAATCCTTTGCAGGTTATTTAAAGCCAGAAAATATTTTTAGATTGTAAGAATTTAAAAAAAAAATAATAATGGTTTAGTAATACAAGATTTACTAATTAACCCATAACTGGGATAGACGAGATGGATTCATGCCTTTCCCAAGGTTATAGTAGTGGATCAATTCTACAATACAATCAATATATGAACTGACCCCTCATTTTGCGACCACATTAGTTTCTATATATTTATATTCCAGTAGATGTAAATAAATCTAAAAGACATACCTATGTAGCTAATCAGTATTTCATTAACTGATTTGTTTTATCCAACTTATCAACCCTTTGCAGGTTATTTAAAGCCAGAAAATTTTTTTTTTTGAGATAATAATAGTTTAGTGATACAAGTCTTACTAGTTAACCTATAGCTTTCCCAAAGGTATTTGCATGCAAGTAAATATAACATACCCAACGGGAATTGAAACTCGGCTCTTTGATTAAGAATTCCAAGTGTGAATAGTATCATGTATAATAAATTATACTATTTGCACATGCAAGTTTACAGCACCTGGTATCCATCAAGCTTTCCTCAGGTGTATATCGATCTGGGTAACATATAGAGAATTCCGAACTGGACCCTTTATTTAATCTACGGGTGTAGACTGTCCTCGTTCCACTGCTTATGTCTAGGGATATTGTCTAGTTCTTATTTTTATTTAGTACTGTTCAGTTATTGCTTGCCTGGTTCCACTGGATACAAGTAGACACTGCCTGACCCAGAAAAATACCCTTAGGAAAAGAGAGTAATCCACGTCCTCTCTCTCTCCTGTTCTATGGGTTAATTAGTAAGACTTTCATCACTAAAGCATTATTATTTCCAAACAAAATTGTTACAATCTACTTCTCTCTACCTATTTTGATGAAGGCCCAATTAAGAGCCCTCTGTAGCTTAAATGCTGCCTGATTTTGCCCTCGAACCTCCGTCAGGTGTATATCGAGGTGCGTAAACTACAGGGATTTCTGAACTGAACCATTTATTTAATCTATGGGTGTAGGCTGTCCTCGTTCTGCTGCTTATGTCTAGGGATAAAAAAGTACACATGGCCTGACATAGGGATTTTCAGTTTAATCCCTGGGTCAGGCTCACCTTGATATACACTGGAGGCAGGCACAATGGTAACATATAGAGAATTCCAAACAGAACCCTTTCTTTAATCTTTATGTCTAGGGATATCGTCTAGTTCTTATTTTTATTTAGTACTGTTCAGTTATTGTACACCCGGTTCCACTGAATACAAGAAGACACTGCCAGACCCAGGGATTTTCAGTTCAACCGAGTCAGGCTCATCTTGATATACACAAGAGGAAGGCACAATGGCCAAAATGTTGTGATAAAATCAAAAAGATGAGGGCAATAGTCTGAATATAGATAGTGTAAATAATGGTAACTCCACATGTCAGAAATTCAGACCAAAAAAGAAAAAGGTAATTTACATTTTCAAGAAAAGATGTCATCTTGACTACAGGACACATGTATTAACTCAATTTAATGCTAAAAAGGTAGCTGGCTTCTATCTTAAACATTCATTCAGTACTTTTGTGAGAAAGAGAGCTAATCAGTTAACAGAAAACATCTGTTATAGTGGAACACACCTATTCTATAGTTAATAGACTCTCCCACCTATAATAAGTAGGAGTAGTAAGAGTAACGTGGGGGGGGGGGTCAGCGACCACAACTAGATTACTGTGTTATACCTATTATATCAAGTTCCTAACGTTTTGTACGTTGAACCTATTTTAGGACCGACTTAGTACAAATACAAGCCTCCACTGTGAAATCACTCCACAACATCACACCTGATAAATACAACCTTTTTAAGACATTCAATGACAAAAGATGATATAGCATTTTTCTAATATCTGCAGAATCTTGGATTAGATGATACACTATCGGCTTTACAGTCAAACATAAAAACAATGGGTAATCAAAAAAAGATATCAATTCTGTACTTACATCTAAGGCAAATCGTCCTTGCTCCTTTTTGCCCAGCGGGGTGTACACCCTGACAAGGACTCCATCAGCATCCTTAGCTTCCAAATAGTCAAATTGTCCAACAACAAATGCTAACAAATAAGTTGACATTTTTGGTGTTCTTTGGAATGTCACCATTTTTAACTGAGAATCACTTTTGTGTGGCACTTCCTTAATTTGAGGCTGTTAAATTAAAAAAAACAAAAAAACAAATTAGTTAAATTTTACTGCAATTTTTATGAAAATCATGTCTTTAGTTGTTTTGAAATATTTCAGCTAAATCATCTTGAATAATTTACAGATGTTATTAAGTTTAAAGTCCAGATTAACTGGGGGGGGGATCATTTTACTCCCAAGTAAGGCAATAAAGCCACCAAGATGCATGGGAGGGAGTGTTGAGTGTGAGAGAATAATAAATGAACAAGAATTAAAACAAGATTACAATTGACATTGCATTTAATTTTTTTTTGATCAAAGTTGTCTGGAAACCAAGAAGCCAGAAGAGAGTTCAGCAAGCAAACAATGAGCGAGAAACTTAGCATAGAACTTGCAGTTAAATTTAGACACTTCAACTCTAAAATGATGAGACGTAACTGCCAATCTAGTACTACGCTTAAATTTGTAAAGTCAGGTACCAAAGAAGAAAGCTCATCAGAACAATTACCATGAAAGTATTTACAGAAAAAGCACAAGATAGTTACTTTATGGTGGTGGGAAAGTGACTGAAGCAGAGATGCTTGGTTAGGACGAATAACATTGCAGATTCTACTTTGTATTTTATCTCTAAATACATAGAAGCACAAGACCTTATGTGACAGCAATATTCAATGCATGAACAGATGGTAGATTTATAAATCACAATATTTTAACAGACTAAGTATTGGGCTCTGTGAATTCTTTTTCTATATAAAAGAATATTTCCATATACCAAATATTCACAATCAACAAAAGGTTTCAGTGTTTGTTCATTATTTTATTTTAAATTCTCCCTTGTAATTTTAATTTATAAGCAGACAATATAAAACATAAATGTTGCTTGTTCATGCTATAAAAATATTTTTTATTGATTTCAAAACTATATCACTGATATGGAATTTCCAGGTTCAGAAAACATGACCCATAGTTTCTATTAAAGGAATTTTGCTGATGTCACAATTTTCTCTGCTGAGCAACAAGCAGTTGCCTTGACCCTTTAATATTTTTGGTGACATACCTAGGTGACTCATCCTAGCAGTCTGAAGGTTAACCTTTACCACGCTGCAGGTGACAATTGTTGCCATAAAATTCTCTTCCTTTGCTACTCTAGGCGCATTCTGTTGCCTTGAGATGGTTGCTATAAACAAATGCTTGTCAACTGTTATTTCTGGCATTTTATGCTGAAAATCGTCTACTACTGCTTTGGAAGAAGGTTAAACTTCCATTTTCCAATGCCATTTTGAATTCTTCTAGACTCTATACGAGGTGTTAACCCACATGAATTTTTTTTGCAAACAAAAATGGCTGCGTCAATATCCAACAAAGCCTTTATTCAGGAGTTTTTCTATGATTAGGACTTCAATGATGATTTTGAAGGCTTTACTTGAGTGGATATTGACGATGAAGTAGTCGAAGATGATAACCACACTAGTGACGTAGAGGAAATCTATGATGATCACTAACAGCTACTATCATCTATGCTTGACTTATGACTTATGGAAGCTGCTGTTAATTTGTTTATGTGTATTCAGTAACTTACCCCCTTTTTTTTTGTTTTTCTTTAAAAATAAAAAAATAATAAAAAAAAAAAAACACACCCATGTAGCAATATCATTCTTTGAAAGAAGGTTTCTGCACTTTAACATTAAATTGATTTATGTTGTGTTATTTGTAATGAAAAAGAGAGGTTTTGATTTTTTACAATATGCATGTATTTAAGATTTTTCCTTATTTCATCAATCTTGTTCTTGGCCTAAAATTTCATATTTCCAGCACAAAATGCAGTAATATCTTGTATGTCCAGGATAACTCGTAACAAGCTTTTTGCAATACTTTTTATGATTCTCCACCAGTGTCTTCTATGACAGGTGCACTGCTCTTATTAGTAATCCCTACCCTTTATATTTCATTCAATTTAAAAAAAAAAAAAAAAAAAAACCCAAAATTATATAGTTCATTCTTACAATACTAATGCATGGTCTACAGCTATTTTATATAAGTAATAAATTGCCTTCAAAAAGAGTTTCGTATACTGCTGAATTGTTTTAGGGAATTTGTTTTAAAGAAACTCATTGATATATGGCTTCTGATACCATAGGATTTGAACAGGAGAAAAGCACAAAGACTTACCATATTTGAAAGACCCATCATTTCTTGTGGCATGACTAACGTGACATCAAATGTGGCTTTGAATGCAGGTTCATCCCAACAGGGGAATGCACGGCGAGCATCAGTTGACTGGAGAAGAAAAAGAGATGAGGAAAAATTACAGTGCTAACATTACTTCCATAACTTTCTGCAACATTTACATACGTGTCAAAGAATTACCATGCATAATTTCCAATATTTGGTCATTTAGTTACATTTTCGGAAATGGTTTAAGCAGAGAATTTTCTAGCAACCTCTCATAATTCACAACAAAATACAAAATTTCTTTAAGATTAAATTGGGTCTAACTCATTTGGTAACCACCTTTATTCCTTTCATATTTCATTGGTGAAATGCATCTTCCACTTGAATAACTTCTTGCCATTAACAGCTGCTCTGTGAAACCAACTCCCAAGAGGTTGTTTCCCAATCATTACAATCTAAAGGCTGTTAAAGTCTAGGGTTAACTGTTATTTGCCTCACATAATTGCAAAAAGTTGTGCCCCTTACTCTGTAACCCTGCCTTGATTGGCTCTTGGGTCATGTACTGTACCGAGTAAACATCATTGTGACCCCCCGCCAAAAAAACAAATTGCTCCTAGGTTTTGATGTTATTTTTATAGTTTTTAAATCTATCAAACAAATTGTAGTAAATTCAACCGACATAGAGTCTAACTTTATTTGCTTTATAGATTCTTCCAACTTTTTAATTGGTTACATGCCTGGGGTACAATTGTGAATAAACTAAAGAGTGGACGAACTATGAAACTCTAGAGTCAGGATGCTGAAGGTAACATCAATCAGCTAAGTGACAAATTTGACTCTCATTAATCATATACATAAAGAAAAAACTGAAAATGTTAGTGGGACTAATTGACAACTTGCCAAAAGACCTAAGTATCCTTAAAGAAAAAAACATTTCAAACCAGGAAAGCAATAAGAAAAAAAGAAAGAGACCTAAAGGCAAACACCTACCTACTCAGTAAAGTACTGAATGAACTAGATTATACACACACACGCGTGCCTCTTTCTCTCTCACTAACATCATCTCTGGAGAGCAACAAACATCAAGGAATGAATATATTGACATTTCCTTTATAATAACCATTAAACATAAAAATAAATTGAAGCTATCTAATTTTGCAATTTTATCAAAATTATCCTATATGTTAATTTACATGTTTGTCTCAATTCAAAAACATGTCTAAAAAAGATATCAAATAAATTTATTACTGTTAATTCTTTAGAAACTGATGTAAAAGGAAGCAACTAAACTGAATGACCTAAAAGGGAAAAAGCTAACAGTGGATGAAAGATATTCAGCCTAAAATAACATTGAGAAAGACTTAAATGACAAATAATTCACAACCTCCACTGTTTGAATTTAGATCCACTCAATACCTAAAGTAAAATAAGAATAAATTTGTATTAACAATCAATGAAAATAATATGAATATGCATAGTTTTTACAACAGTATTGAAGAGATTTAAATATACCAATTAAGACTTTAAAGAAAAATGGAAAATAAAAGGAAACCACCCCTATAGCTGAAGCATGCTGTTACCAATTTGGCTACAGGAAACCCTTTTGATATAGCAAAGTTCAATTTACTTGTTTAAAGAATGCACAGGAAAAAGGGATATAGGTTTGGTTTCTGTAAGGAGGCATATATCAACTTCTTGATCAAGGCCGATGATTATTAATTCCACTGTTAAAGAAAAATAAATAGGGATAGCAACTTGAACAGGTGTACCCACAAAAAAAAAAACAAAAAAAAAAAACGTTTATAGTTATAAGAAAGGTTGGGCTAAAAAATCCATTTAGAAAATTACTGTTAACTGTTAATTTGCAGTATAAGCACCAAAAGTCCCCAGTCATGAGAAAATGAGAATGCACCATTCTGGTGTGAAATCACCTGATTATTTGGAAAATGACATTAAAACATTGTCCTTGATTACTGTTTAGAAGTTATGGAAAATGTAAGTTTGTCCTCTTTTACATTCTCCAGCCATCATTACTGGCATTGTTTACATATGTTCACCTCAAGTAGTAAAGTGTGTAAGCTTACTCAGTGGTCAGCCTTTTTACACCTTTTCATATCTTACTTGTGTTGATTACAGCACAATTTTTGCAGATGTTAATTTAAAATTCACTTTTTTTATCTTAAAATATGCTCCCCAATGGAGTTTTAAATGAATAGTTTATTTCTTTTTTTTTTTTTTATTAAATTGGTTTAAATTTGCTACAGAAACAATTGTAAAAAAAAATAAAAAAAATAAATAAAAAGACTTCATTGAAGAAAAAGAACTTCATTTTGTCATCCTTTCAGGCACATGTAATTTTGATTTTATTTTTCGTTTTTTCATTTTTACTAATATATTTGGAATCATGACATTTTTTCAATTGGGTTACTTTTAAAATTTTGCACATTCATTTTAAACTTTGTGCATTGTGCAGTAACCAACACAGGTGAGCTTCAATGCATGCGTATTTGAAGCAAACGTATGTAAACAAAGCCAGTAATGGAAGTCATTCTGTCTACGAGACAAGAAAGTCAAACTTTCATTGTTCATAGCTTCTAAACAGTAATTGAGCACAATGTTTTAATGTCTTTTCCAAATAATCAGTTGGGTACAAAGTTAAAGCTAGAAGATATAGATTCATAGAAATCCCAATGAGAGAAGAGTGTTCCTTAAATAAGTAACTTAAACCTTGCTTTATAAAAGATCATCTACACTGAACAAATTTGTAATAGAATGCTTCAGCTAGGAGTGGTTTACCTGATTTGGGTCAGTTGTTAATTTTACTGTTAAAAAAAAGAAAAGAAAAAGAAAACAGGATAGCAATTCAAATATGTTTACCCACTAAAAATACCATTATACAGTAATAACAAATATACAGGTCTGCATGCAAGTGCTTCTACCTAAGTGTAGTAATGGTGTGACTAAAATAAAACTAAGCTTGTAGCTTTTCTCTCACTAATAATAAAAACTTTGTATAGAATATTTTTCTTGAATAAAGTTTGAGAAGGGACAATGACATTGACCTGGAAAACCTGACAGACCAGTGTTGAGTTTCAGGTGAGATATTGTGTCTTGTGATAAAGCAGGAGAATTATTTAAACACAAATTGTCCTTGATCAACCAAATTCCAATATCATTTTTATTATGATGAGGAAATGTACATAGGTTTGGAAGCCAAGCTTTCAGATTACACAATGTTAAAAAACATAAAAATATACACGCAGACAAATACAATCTATTTATTTCACAAGAACTGGTTAATTGGTCCCATAAACTGACATGTTATTAACTGAACTTTGACCCCAGAATTTCTAGTACATATTTTTGTTCTGTGATTTACTATTAGTTTAAAAACAGTAAACAAAGATTATGCTAAAAAAAATATTTATAATAGATTAAATACCTTTTTTCATCATTAGGCTACAGACTTTGAAATAAATACATATATATCAAGTGCTGAAAATTTTGTGGCTTGACTAAAGAAAAAAACACTCCTGTTTAGTATCATATATACTTGCAGATAGGTGATCCCGCCAGATAGGTAGCACCCCTACCTTATGGCTTAATAATTGATGATTTACTGTTGACTTGCAGATAGGTTGCGCTATAACCTGGGGAGTTGCACAGCCCTTTTTAAATGTAAGAATTATCAGATATCTACCTTTATTTCAAAACTTACAATTATTAATACACTTTTGCAGTTAAAATACATTTCGTCAATCATCATGTAAACAAAAGAAGTAACTGTTGTACTGGTATTTTTATATTTACCACATATTTTTATATCAAGTCAATTCGGGGACAAAAAAAAAAAAAAAAAAAAAAAACGATAAGAAAATGTTACGGTACATTTAGGAAAAAAGTGTTTATCTATTTTAAAAGCTGCTTCATAACTTTCTTTTACTCATGATTATGGTTTGCAACAATTAAAATTATAAACTATAAATTTGGCTACCAACTATATTTCTATGCAATGCAAAATAGTGCAAACATTTTGATTACTAGATTCATGCACTTTATTATTTGTAAATAACACTTAACACCTTTTAATGTTCTATGAAACAACCATTAAAGAAAATTATCTCATAAAGAATATATTTCATTTCTTTAAGTCATATTTTCCAATGTATTTTTGACAAAATATATATATTTTGCAGAATTAATTGTGGGATTATTTTTTCTTTGTCAATAAACATCTACACGTGGTTCCTTAACTTATGCATGCATGTTCAGGTTTTTTTTTTTTTTTATATCAGTCTAGTTCAAGGGCCCCGACCGAATGGAGACAAATGGATCAATGAAAACTTTATAATTTTATTTATTTATTGTAATGGATATGTGAATCTAGCAGTATGAGGTAAATTTAAAGCAGTGAGTCAGTATATATGATAGATAAATTGCTTCTATACAGAGAAAAACCACAGCTTTAGTGTTTATGGGTATCATTTTTGATTTCTCAGAAACCATAAGGTAGTGTTTTTTTACATTTATGATAAGCAGATAGGTTGCACCTCTAGCATTTTGTGAAATTTTTGGTAAAAAAAAAGAAAAGAAAAAAAAGGTGGAACCTATTCGTGACTATATATGGTAATTGGTAAGTGTTGGACTAAAGTTTTCAGCAACCCTCATAATATATAAAAACGAATATATCTATGCATATGTAAGTCTTACATAAAACAATGTCATCAAAAAAAAAAATGCAATTTTTTTTCCATTCTAGTCTTTTGTGAGCATTATCATGAAGCAATTTGTATACTTTGAAGTGAGGTAATGGTCAACAATTTTGTCTTGCTAGATCAATTACGATTGAACAGGGAGTTTGATCCTCACTGGATGCCCCATACTTTCACTCTTGTGCAACATCTAAGCTACTCTTAGAAAAATAACCATTATCAAAAAGCAATTTTTTTTGTTGATAGCTTTTTATGATTATATTGCCTAATTATGTAAATAAAGCTATTTTCTGAGCTGAAAGTAGTAACCACCTTAACATTTAAATCACAGCTTGTAAGTCGATGTACAGGGTGTACCAGTATAAATGTAACTCAAATGTATGTAATTTTGTTGATTTTTAATATTTTGCTTTTATATTTCAGATTTGGAAAGCTGAGAAGATAGCTGAGAACACCAACTACAATGTTTTTTTACAGAGGAATAGAAACTTTTCTGTGTGCTGAGACAATTAGAGGGAAATTCCTATATAAACATGCCATCATGAAATTCTGCAGAAAACATGTCAAGGATAAAATCCCTTGCAAAACTGACATTTACTGGCGGATCAAGAAGTTGGAGGCTACAGAAACAATCAACAACATGAGGGAAAAGTCTCCAGCAGTCGAAGTTGGCAGAAAACCTACTTTAAAGTTGTTTCTGAAAATATAGCAACTGTCCAAGATTCAGTAAGCAGGAATCCAAAGAAATCCATTCATAGAAGGTGCCAGGACCTTGGCCTCACCAAATCACCTGTTCGGCATATTCTGATCAATGATCTTCATCTTTACCCTTACAGAATACAAATAAAAGAAAAAACTGACCACTGCTGATAAAGAAAGTAGAAATTTGTAACTTGTTCTTAGACAAGATTAAAGACAAACCAGAATTTCTCGATAATGTACGGTTCACAGATGAAGCACATTTTCTACTCTCAGGCCATGTGAATAGTAAGAACAATGTATTCTAGAGTTCAGAACACCAAAATGAAGCTCTAGAAAGACCCCCCCCACCTCATTCATTGAAATGGACTGCTTGGGCAGCTATATCAAAGCATGGCATTATTGGACCCTTCTGATTTGAAGACGCACAAAAGCAGCCGTTGACCATCACATGGGAACTCTATTTGGAGTTTCTGAACAAATTCTGGCATGGACCGGGAATCATGAGACGTGGTAGAGGTACAATCATAGTTCAGAGGGGGGCACTCCTCATACAGCAAATGTCTCTCTGGAGCGGTTGGACCAGAAATTTCCCAACTGACTCATCAGCTGTAAATGCAAACATGAATGGTCTCCACATTCCCCAACCTCAACCCTCTAGACTCTTATCTTTGTGGGTATCTGAAGGATTGAGTCTACAGGAACAACCCCCATAACATCTCAGAGCCAAAGGCAGCAATCACTCAAAAAATCAGGGATCTACAAAAAGAGTGCATCACAGTCATCAACAACCTCGTCCGTAGAATTCAAGTGTGTCTTCAGAATGAAGGATATTCTATAAATGACAATAAAATCTTCTCCAGTAGAGCTAATTGATATGTTGTTTGTAGCAGTAGATTTGCTAATTTTTCTAGTTTTCTGAAATATATATATATATATATATATATATATATATATATAGTTTGTAAACAATAACTAAATGGTGTTCACATTTTTGGGTTACATTTATTCTGGGACAAGCTGTATTTTATAATAGTACCAAATTGAGCCAAAAGACTTATTTTTGCTGACGATTTTTTTTCCATGTTATATAATTTGATACAACTGGTTCAATCATTGCAAAACTGTTTATGCATTTTTTTTTTATGAGAATTGACAACAAAAATAATAAATAAGATTGTTAAAATGGTTGGCAAAACATTGTCAATCAATACAAACTTTATAAAATGGTAAATAAGGATTTCTTTGTAATGGGTTCACATATTTTAATAATTTGGTAAATGTTTATAAATTTATGAATAAAAAATTGTTTTCATATTTATTTCTTTATAACTTGGTAAATGATAAATATCGCATTAGTTCTAATTGTATTACTCTTTCAAATATTGTAAATATAAAATTATTCTTGTAAATGAAGAATCTCATTAATAGAAAGGATAGATAAGTAAAGGGTGGCATGAAGGTCCAAGTTTGCTGCCTTCTGGATCACAACTGCTTTTTTCAGCCATTTGTGTTAACAGCAGTATTTATATTTTCTTTCAATACAAGCAAACAACAACAAAAGGAGAAAAAAACAACAACAACAACAAAAGGAGAAAAACAACAACAACAACAACAAAGGAAAAAAAACAACAACAACAACAAAGGAGAAAAAAAAAAAAACAACAACAAAAAGGAAAAAAAAAACAACAACAACAACAAAAGGAGAAAAAAAACAACAACAACAACAAAAGGAGAAAAAAAACAACAACAACAACAAAAGGAGAAAAAAAACAACAACAACAACAAAAGGAGAAAAAAAACAACAACAACAACAAAAGAAAAAAAATAAACAACAACAACAAAAAAGAAAAAACAACAACAAAACAAAAAGGAGAAAAAAACAAAACAACAACAAAAGGAGAAAAAAAAACAACAACAACAAAAAAAGGAAAAAAAAAACAACAACAAAAAAGGAAAAAAAACAACAACAACAACAAAAGAAAAAAAAAACAACAACAAAAGAAAAAAATAAACAACAACAAAAGAAAAAAAATAAACAACAACAAAAGAAAAAAAATAAACAACAACAAAAGAAAAAAAATAAACAACAACAAAAGAAAAAAAAATAAACAACAACAAAAGAAAAAAAAATAAACAACAACAAAAGAAAAAAAAATAAACAACAACAAAAGAAAAAAAAAACAACAACAAAAGAAAAAAACAACAACAAAAGAAAAAAAAAATCAAAGTACACTTACCTCAAATTGTGTCACTGCCAAATGAGTGACTTCCTTTTTAGGATTTGCATATTTGCTTCGGTAGAATCCTTTCATTCGATCATTAAGTTCTCCTTTGAATTCCATAGAAAGGATTCCACTTCCAACCTGATAGAGGTAAGAACAGAAATTTTATATAATACCATGACAATATTTCTTAACTGTTTTAACAAAAATGTTAAAAGGAAATCTTGTAGGTAAAAGAAACACACACATTTATATATAAATTTTGATTTGTGCTGAAATTGTATTTTAAGGTAAATCCAAAAGTCCACAAACAAGATTTTATTATAATCAAGACTATCATTTTGCAATTTTACAGATTTCTTTGTAGTATCCATGAAGACATTTTATATAATTACAAGAAGGGTTGTTGTTGGGGTTCTACTATTATTATTATTATTATAATAATAATAAAAATAATAAGAATTGTTGTTATTGTTGTCCTTATCCTATCTTATGAACATTTCTCTTCATAATTTCAAAATAATTAAGCAGATGGTATTATTTTATTTGGGTAACTGGATTTTTGGCAATTGCCTAACCTAGTTCCTGTTGTTAAATACTGTGCATTTGAAAAATGGCGCATTTACCACAGTCAGGGTAGTATCTGTTTTTGGGTAATCTCTCAGTCACATCCTGGCCTGTGGGTGGAGTGCCACTCAGCTTCATCCCAGTGTGCAGACTCATCACAATTGACAATATCATTAAGAGGTTCCCAATGGAAGGAAACTGTTAACCATGGCAGTATCTTCATCACTTGATTATGAAGTAGTAATACTGATGCCAGCGCAACTGATGCTTGCAGGGACTGAACTTTTTTTGGATCTGCCTGAGCGAATATGCTCTTGGGTTCCCCACATTAAACTGGCTGTGTCACATCCTGCCAGCATGGGGTGGCAAGAAAATTTCTTGGCCTTTTTCACTAAGATCAACATGCAGTATCTGTTCTTATCAGCTTAATCCGATTCTCTCTCTCTCTCTCCCCTTCTATCTTCTCTTCTTTCTTTCATTCATTTTCTCATTGAAACCAAGTAGTGTTTTTCCCCTTTGTCCCACACAATCAAAATGGAAGAGTCAATTATTTATGAAGTATTGGCAGGGCATAATGGTCATGTGAACTAATGAAAGGAAGGACAAGCACAATTATATGGTAATGATGATGATGCTGCTGCTAAGGCAGGCATGGCTCTCATGGCTTTGAATCTTAACTGACTGCAGGTGTTAACATGTACAAATTTGGAAATATTTCCTAATGCCTGATGCACTGTGAATCTGTTCGTGAGTGAGAGTAGTGGAGGTGTATCATGTCAACAGTTTTTTTTTTTTTTAATTTTTTTAAAGATTGAAAGACGAGGCAGCCAAAACAACTTGGGTGTCACATCTAGATACGAGGAAACAACCGTAATCTTCTGAGAGGACTAGGTTACTGAACCTGAAGGTATTTCTAACTGGGTTCCACCTGCAAGTTTAAGTGATGCTTTCATGAAAACCTGTCACCATATCTCACATATTTGGCAGTAATGCATGTGCCTGGTACACCTTTATCAGACTGGGTGTCACGATGGGTAGAATGGGCTTTGTATACTGTATCCAAAGTTATCACTTTGTCAGTATGCTATTCTCTCACTCAATAATTGGCTTTGTATGAGTGTATCCCAAGTTGTCACTGTTGATATGCTACTCTCTCACTCAATAAATAATCATAGTGAAAGCACATTTCAGCTGGTGTTTACAATATCAAGAGATTAACAAAGTATCTGATAAAAAAATTATTTTCCTAACTTTCTGGTGTAAAAGACATATTTAATGTTGACACATCATCTAAGAACATTGTTTGTCATAGTACAATAGTCTGCAAGCTCAACACGCCTGTCATTGCTAGTGATCTTGATCCACACTAGGTTAGAGATTTTATTTACATTATTCAGACTATTGTCCTCATCTTTGTCGCCATATTTATTACATAATATTTATTATGTAATAAACATGGCAACAAAGATGAGGACAATAGTCTGAATAATGTAAATAATGTACATAATACCTCATTTCAGAAATATAGACAGATACCGTTAGAGATTTTCTTTGACAAAGCCAAGATTAGGAAATGTTGGCAAATTAGGGCCTTCATGCCTGCAAAAAAAGACAGAATCAAAAGACTGTTCCCCCCCCCAACCCCACTTATTTTAATTCTCTCCACTCCCTCAACAATGTTTGTTTTAAAAAGCAATCATTAGAATTTTAATAAACCCTAAACACATGAAAGTGGATTTACACATTTTCTTTATTCATAAGAATTGACAACAAAAAATAATAAACACTATTAGATTATTTATTGGAAAGGTTGACAAAACATTATCTAATTGCCAATCAATTCAAACTTTATAAAATGGTAAATAAGGATTTCTTTATAGTTGCTTCACATATTTTAATCATTTATTAAATGTTTATAAATTTATAAATAAAAAATTGTTTTTTTATTTCTTTATAAATTGGTAAATGATAAATATTGCATTGCATTAGTTTTAACAAAATTGTATGAGTTTTTAGAATGTTGTAAATATAAAAATTCTTTTAAATAAACAATCTAATGAATAGTGTTTAATATTTTTCTCGTAAATTTTCAACAAAAAAAAAAAAAAAAAAAGTATAAATTCATTTTTATCACATGTTTAGGCTTTCACAATTGTCTTGATTACTTTTTCAAACTATAAACATTGGCGAGGAGTGAAGGTAATTAAAATAGTCGTGACAAGAGAAACAAATATCCTTTTGACACACCGTTTTTTGGGGGAGCATGAAGGTCCAATTTTGCCAAAAAGTTTATATTCCAAATTTAAAAACATGCCAAAAACAGATTATACTATAGTCAGTATCTGTTTTCTGGTAAAAGGATATTTTCTATAAATCTACTCAATTCTATTAGTAAAATGAATTTCAAAATACAATCTTAACGAGAGACCTTTTATGACAACAGGTTGAGAAATGTAACACAGTCCATTATATTTAACTCGGCAAAATATCTTAAACACATATCTAGTAACAGTCTACTAATTCTTTTGCCAACAAAGACACTGATATGAGGATTCCTTTTAAAAAAAAAAAAACTGTGCTTAATAACTAATATAATATTACAAAAAATATAAGTTTCTTCTGTTTACCTGAAGTTCATTTGGAAATGTTAATGTAACACACTCATTTTCTTCATTGTAGGATACTTCGCCTTTAAGTGCATTATCAGCATCTGGTAAAATAAAACAAACAATAAATTAACACTACATATTTTTGAAGACAAACATTATTATAATAATAAACTATTTTGGTGTGCTTTGGTGTAGGGTAGTGACTAAACAAGCTAACATTGGAAAGCATTCCAGCAATGTGGTGTCTGTTCCTTGTTAAGTGCTTTACATTTTTATCTTTTGACTACTAAGCTGAATATCCATCTTTAATATAAGCATATATTAAATAATATCAATCTATAACTGTAAAATTTAATTAAAAAAAACCTGTTTATAATCCTTCTCAGACAATGAGGAAATTGTCAGAAATTATCTGGAGTTCATTTTGGAAAAAGGGTACAACAAATATGGTCCAAGTTTTAATTGTTAATTGGTTGATTTTGTTTCACGGCATATCAACCTCTGGTGTTATTCAATGCTGAAATCTAAATATTTTTTTTTTTTTTTGCACAACTATTGAGTGTTATGACATAGGAAAAGAGATGTGTGAATTGTTTTTATTTATTGATGGTTGGTTTTGTTGTACGAGTTTTGCTTCATGGATCATAGGTCTGTTTTTACTAGTTTGCTAAATTCAGCCAACAATGTAAATACTTAATTTTACATTTTTTTTTTCTTAACTATTTTTCCAAATAATTTGCTGTACATCCAAATCAAAAATTGTGGATAAACAGTTCATGGTCCATGTTTTTGTTTGAGTACTTTTGATGGTCTCAGTCATTACCAAGAACTCAATGTTGTCAATATCGAAGGCAAGATTTTGTTAGCTTCATCCTAGCAATTATTTAAAAAAAAATTTTTTTTTCCCAATACAATTCAAATATACAGTGGTGTGAAACTGAAAAGCCATTATGTAGTGTTGATTCCTATGTCCACACTATACATCTTCGATAGTTTCACATAACTTGTCTATTAAGTATATTGTCTAATGAGCTTTCGTCTATGGCACCTAGACTTTATGAATTTAAGTGCAGTACAAGATTAGTGGCAAGATCTCATCATTTTTACAGCTAGATGTAATTGTAAGTTCTACGTTAACAGTTTCTTCTATTGCACTTCTTGCTTGTGGAACTCTCTTCTGGCTTCTTAGTCAATTTTCATCTTCAAAATTTTAAATGCAGTGTCAATCATTATCTTTTGTCTTCTTAATTCCTGTTCTTTTATTATTCTCTCCTTAATATTTTTCTCATTCTCACACACTCAGTAAAGCTCTTGCATCTTTATGGCCTTATCTCCCAGTACACTATTAAACAATCCTTTTCCTTGTGTTATAATCCAATTCTTGAACTCTTATTTGCCACAGATGAACATTTCAGTTTGTAACAAACTATTTTTATTCAGTGACTTAATAAAATGCATATTTGTTTTCCTTTCTTGTGAAATGTTATTTATCATTAGGATAATAACTAAAAAAAAACATTACAAATATTACAGCTCATAACTGGTTATAAGATTACAATATAGTTTTGTTATTGGGTGCACAATGGGATATTAAAATAAATAAACACAAACTTATTTCATAGTATATTTCCCAATATTAGTGGGATGTAACATATTTCACAACTAGTGAACCAGAGGCATTAAAAATGACAATTTGAAACTTAACAGTGAGATGTAATGAAACAAAAGTTTTGAGATTCAATAAAGCAGAGAAAAAATTTATAACTAAAATAGAGACTAATGAATTTTTAATTAATCTATTCCTTATATATATATATATATATATATATATATATAATTTTTTTTCTTAAGGTGTTTATTGATATGTAGGATTCATTAATTATTCTTGGTAATATATAAAATCACTTTTTGCTCAATATCATCATGTTAAAAATTTTATGTCTTTAATACAACAGGAAATAACTCTTGGAAGATAAAAATTAACAACAGAACAACAAATCTCTTAATAGGCAAAGGTATCAAAGCGCCTTACATAAAAATCTTGAACAAATAAGACTGTGGTCTAAGAAATGTAAGGGTAAAGAAGCTGATTAATTAAACGGTTCATTCTGCCCAGAAATAATTTTGCCTCAATACAGATAAATGTTTTATTTGTATAGATTATTCAAATGACTAAGCGAATTAATAACTCCTAAATTTACTAATTGAAGTTGATTTACTTCCCTTCCCATTACAGATATAACAGGAAATACATAAATAAATACATATTTATCATTAACCATTTGGTCATGTAGGACTTCCAGTCAAATGAGTTGTTAAGCACGTCAGATCTGATGACGGTTCCCCATAGGGAATGCAGGTTCAAATCCTGCAGGAGGATGTAAATTTTTCTGACAAGATTTCTTGAATATTCAGGCTGGTAAAAATAGTTGGGTTAAAAAAAAGGAAAAAAGCAGCTTCTACTCAAATATGAGCATCAATAAAAAATAACGTTTAAATAAAATAAATTAAAAATAAGTATGTCAGATAAAATTTATTCCCTTATATATATATATATATATATATATATATATATATATATATATAATATATATAATAATTAAGAAAAAACATAATCCACAGTAATAAATTTATTTCAATGAATATAGGTATATTTATCTCATTAGACAGACTACATTTTATGAAATCAAATCAAGATATCAAGACAAAAACATATATACAAAGATAAAATTTTTTAACAAATGTAAAATAGAAGATAAAAATAGCAAAAATACAATTAGCTAGAAAAGTTTTCTTTGGAGGCTTATATTATGAATAGAGAGAACAGAAAAAAAAGAGCGTTAATATAATACTGAAAGGGAAAGTAAACAGAGAGAGAGAGGGAGGTTACACTTAAAGTTTGGAAGTTGTGGCACAAATATATATATATATATATATATATATATATATATATATAAATATAAATACAATTTGTGATTGGTAGGGATAATTCCAAAGAGGATATTAATCCAAAAAGAGCTCAATGTAAATTTAAATTACAGAGCATTATAGTAAGGATAAAAATAAAAAAATCCCATCATTTCTTTCTTTCTTTTTCCCATTTCTTCACTCTCTCTCTCTCTCCCTCCCTCCTATACTTTGTTTTAAAAGAAATTATATTTGAAACTTTCTTCTTTTCCCTTTTTCTTCTAATTTCTTTTAATCTAGTATATCTGTCTGGATGTATAGTCTCCATTTTTTAAGAACTTTCAGTCTGAAGAGTTGAATATATAAAAATATTCACAAAATAAATTATAACCGAAATGGATCTTTATGGTTGTTTTGTTAAGTTTATATATATATATATATATATATATATATATATATATATATTTTGGTTGGAGTGATGTGAGTTTGTGACCCTGGGTTTCACGCTTTTTTGATTGTCAGACAAACTGATTAATATTTTAAAAATTTGGGATTTATGTAGATTTCATGTATTGGTGGTGTTATGGAAGTGGTGGAGGAAATCGTCATTGTGATGTCACTCATGTTAATGCAAACATAGATGCATGTCGTGTGTCTGTGCACTGAGGTGCACAGACACACATACACACTCGCTTGCCTGCCGGGTCTTATACAAACATAAATATATGTGAAGCTATACAATTGGCACAGCAACATGTAAAAATCACGGACAGAGATATAAAGATAATCAAACATTGTCACAAATCTCTGCTGTTCCACAATAGTGAACCATGGACAAAGAAACAAAACCACAACTTGTTTGATGTAACAATGGGTAGCTACAATGGAGCAGAAAAATGCGAATTAGTAGGCATACTCATCATCTCATACCTGGCCAGAATCCTGGAGAGAAAGGACATGGGATTATACAAAGATGATGGTCTTGATAAGAGAACCCAATGGCCACAAATTAGACAAATTTAGGAAGAAAATAGTGAACGCCTTAAAAATCATTGGATTCAAAATAGAGATAACCGCAGGCTCAGCAACAGTAAACTTCATTGACGTCACTCTTAACCTGAACAACAATACATACGAACCATAAGACAATGACACCCCAACTTACGTACACACATCCTCCAACCAAAAATCATCAAACAAATGCCCATATCAATCAGCCGCAGACTGAGAACTCATCTAACATACACATTTTCAATAACAAAAAACACCATACAACGAAGCACTAAAAACAAGTGGATACACACAACAACAATATACAGCTCCACAGCCAAAACAGAAAAAGAAATATTATCTGGTTTAATCCACCATACAACAAAACCATCAAAACAAACATAGGCAAGACATTCCTAAACTTAATAGAAAAGCACTTCACTGAAACAAACCGATTAGCAAAAATATTTAACAAAAATAACGTTAAAATCAGTTACAGCTGCACAAAAAATATAACAGATAATCATAAGGCACAACAAAAAAATGACAACCTATAAAAATGAAACCAAGGATCCAAAATGCAACTGTAGAAATAGAACAACATGTCCACTCCAGGGAAATTACCAACATACGAATACAATATATAAAGCCAAGGTAAGTGCAAACAACAGCACAATGTACTACATCAGTGCCACCGAGGGTCCATTCAAGAAGAGGAAAAACAACCACAACCTTTCATTCACCAACAGAAAATACTCAAACAGCACTACACTATCCACATACATATGGCAGCTAAAAGACAGAAATATCACACCAAGAATAAGCTGGAAAATATTGAAAAAAGCATCTGCCCACATCAACATTACAAAAAAAAAAAAAAAAAAAAAAAAAAGCCTACTTTGCCTACACAAAAAAGTAGAAATAATAGCCCATACCCTGCAAAAGAATTTACTAAACAAAAGATCAGAGATAATCTCCAAATGTAGGCATGAGAATAAATACCTATTATCAGAATTTATACCAAACGGATATAAAAAAACAAAACAAAACACCAACACTCTTTAGTTCAAGCTGCCAACACAATAATTACATTTATTATTATCATTCCACCACCATTAGTAATCACTTCTACCACTTTACAATAACTATTAGCTTCTAATATCATTACCACCAATCCCCCAACACCATTACTACCACATCACATCTACTATTACCATATAAATCCACTATAATTATTAACGTAAATTACTTCCCCCTCTCCCAGTATATTTAATACCACCAAATAAAAACCAATAAGATCAGAGATAATTTCCAAATGTAGGCATCAGAATAAATACCTATTACCAGGATTTATGCAAAACAGATGAAAAAAAAAAGAAAAAGAAAAATACAACACCAACAATCACTCTTTAGTTCAAGCTACCATCACAATAATTACATTTATTGTTATTATCATTGCACCACCACCATTACTAATCACTTCTACCACTTTACAATAACTATTAGCTACTAATATTATCATTACCACATCACATATACTATTATCATATAAACCCGCTATAATCAGTAACGTAAACTACTCCACCCAGCATATTCAATACCACCATATAAAAACCAATAAGGATTACAAACTGCAATTTCTATCAGTTACATATACGCAGTCATCAAAAACAAGTAAATAACCAGCTTTATACGTGTGTGTGAGGAAATATTCAGCGAAAGAATAGAAAAATGATCTGATTGTTGACATGTATATATTCATGAGACATTTTCGCTACACTTCTGATCTTTGAATTTCAACATACAAATGTGTATGTATATAGACAACAGCACACATATACATATGTCAAGTCTCATACTGTCCACATATGTTTATGTTTGTATGAGACCTGGTAGGCGAACGAGTGTGTATGTGTGTCTGCGTACCTCAACGGGTTTATGGACATGCATCTATGTTTGCATTAGCATGAGTGACATCACGACAATGATTTCCCCCACCACTTCCATAACACCAATACACGCAATCTACACAAATCCAAATTTTAAAAAAATTAATCAGTTTGATGATGTAAAAGCGTGAAACCCAGGGTCTGAAACTCATCAATCCAACCAAATATGTTAGCTCTATCTCTGATATTGAGCACTTTCTAACAAGTACTACATATATAATATATAAATAATAATAATATATATATTATATATATATATATATATATATATATATATATATATATATATATATATAACAACTTCCTTGCTTTTTTTAGCACTAAGTAACTTTGACATTTTACTTTCCCTCTTTGTTCCTGTTCTGCAACCCATTCACACAAACTCAGTCATTAAATTTTCTTTTTTATCCTGCTCTATTGACTACAGCATATCCTGTAAGTTTTAATTTCTTTCAGATCTCTTTCTTCCGTAAAAATCCCATAAATTTCCTCAAGGACACATGGCATAAAGGCATTGGTTAGATCCAGTGACAAGACCCAAAGAGTGCGAGTTCAATACCTAGTTAAGGCAGTGGAGAACTTTCAGAGGGAAATTAACAGGAGATAACTGATAACTGACATCCATTAAACATGGAACTAGAACAGTCTACCCCAGAGAGCAAAATAAAGGGTTCAGTTCGACATTCCAACCACCTGAAGAAGGCCGGAGCATACAACGGCCAAAACGTAATAAATATGGCGACAAAGATGAGGACAATAGTGCGAATAATGTACATAATACCTCATCTCAGAGATATAGACAGATACTGAAAGGCCGGAATGTTGTAATAAATATGGCAACAAAGATGGGGGGGGGGACAATAGTCCGAATAATGTAAATAATGTACATAATACCTCATCTCAGAAATATAGACAGATACATAAATTTCAGCTATCTCTTTCTAACTGTAAGTTTACTTGTAGTTCCTAATTTCCTTGAGATTTTTTTTTGTTGCCTATATCCTGTGTTGGTAGAACCATGTATATGTCACTTCATTTGTGAGAAGACTGTCCAACATTCACTGCCATATAGGAGATTATATATTACATAGCAGTTTTCATGATTTGCAAGGGTCATTATACCATCTTTTCATACTTTACTTGGAAACAATTTGCTTTTCCTGTGTGTCTTCAGATTTCTGGATCAATTTTTTTTTTTTTATCTGTTACTATACAATGTAACTAAGTTTCTGTATCGTCTAAATTTTGACGTTTCCAGTTTGTAGTTCACCTGGCAGGCTGGGGCACCTTGGCGTGGTGTAATGGTTAGCAAGCTTGTCTTGCTAGATTAGTTACAACCAAAGTGAGTTTGATTCTCACAGGGTGCCCCATACTTTCAGCCTTGTGACACATCTAAGCTACGCTTAGAAAATAACCACCTGGCAGGCTGTCTTGTTTGGAAATGTTACAAAAAGGTGAAAAAAACATTAAGTTCTATTATTATAAAGAAATATAAATCTTAGATACATACCAACATTAAGTCACGGATTCAGAATTGGGCTCTTTGCATGTCTTATTAAAAATGAACTACTCTTTACAAACTCCTTATTTACAAAACTGTAAGTGTTGAAAAGTTCTTGGACCGGTCCAAGTGTCAGACTAGTTTTTGAAAGGGCTTCTTGGTTGGATTGAGAATTTTTCAGTATCATCTCATAAATTGACAAATAGAGTTTATCTTTGGTTTCAGTAGCATACAAATTTTACAAATTCATATGTAGAGAAAAAGATTGGAATAAAAAAATTACATAAAACAAAAGATATATTAAAATAATTATGATTACTAACCTTTTGTTTTAAATTCAACATTTTTTACTTCAAGTTCTGCAGAATTTAATGTAATGGATTTGACACATTCTTGAATCTGAAAGAGAGAAAGAATAAGTAAAACATTTCATCAACCTATAAAAATTAAAGCAGATTCCAGAAAAAACAAAAACGTTTATGTTGTTTTCAAAATAAGGAAAATTTTGAAATCAAGCTTGTTTAAAACAAGATAAATGCCAACATAGCCGAGAAAATTATGACATGACTCACAACCTAATATTTTGACAAATAATTTTACATTATATATATATTTCTTATCTTAACAGAAGAAACAATGAATAAAATTTACAAAAGTGATAAACAATTCTTACCCAAAAACAAAAACAAAAAAAAAAAAAAAAAAAAAAAAAAAAAAATATTGAGTAAAAATTATGAAAATCAATTTCTCATAAAATGAATATTGTTAATATTCTCTAACAAAGATGGGCTGGATTTTTTTTAATGGTTTATCAAACTTCTGCAGTTTATTTAAAGCAAGAAAATATTTTTAGGTTGTGATAATTTTTGGGAGGGATGATAATGATTTAACTGACACAAGCCCTACTAATTAAACCTATACATTGGGGAAGATGAGGTGGAGTAATACCTTTCCCAAAGGTATTTGTGTGTAAGTGTATATAACGAGCAAGACATGGAACTTGGTTTTCTGATTTTCATGTTCATGCTGTTATCCATTACACCACCTACACATCTAACCTTACATCACCTGGTATTTCCAAGCAAATAGTTTTTTTCAATGATCTGAAAAGGTTTGGAATATACACACTATATATGAATATGAATGTGTTTTAAAATAAATGTTAACCTGTGTATTTCTGGAAGATAATGCTTTTAACATGAAATACCTCCAAAAATTTATGAGGAAAAAAAAAAAATACAAAATTTTATCATCAAAATCTTTGTTATAAAGACTAAGAGGAATGATCAAGAATTTTGATGGAAAGACAGATCTGTCAGTATGGACGAATTTATTGATTTTAGTGATACGGTTAAAAAAAAAAAAAAAAAAAAAAAAAAAAAATTCAAACCAATTTAAATTTGCTTTGAAATGCACTAAAGTATTTTGCATATTGGGAATAAATTTAATCTTAATTTAAGCTTGAAATTAAAACTAAGATTTTTCATATTTTAAAATACATTGACGTTTCATTTTTTTTTTTTGAAGGCCTGTATCTACTTTTAAGGCAAGCAGTTTTTGCAATTAAGTACATAAATAGGAATAGCTCTTTTTTTTTTGTTTCAGTTGAGTAAAGCCACTAAGATACATGTGGTTACAGGGTGTGGAACAATCAGGAACAGAAATATTACTAATGAGTGGGAAAAGAAAAGAGTAATGAGAAGGACAGTAGATAGCGATTGATATGGCATTTAAATTTTGCAGATTAAAGTTGGCTGGAAAGCATGAAGCCGATAGGGAGTTCCACAAGTGGGGGAAAAAAAAAAGAAGGAATTGTTAGCATAGAATTTATGGCTACATCTAGCCAGGTCAACTGTTGATGAGATCGTGACGTCAGTCTACTTTACTGCGTTTAAATTTAAAAAAAGTCTAGGTACCATAACGAAGAGATCATCTGAACAATTACCATGAAAGTATTTAGAAAAGACACAGAGGGGCAACCTTATGGCGGTGGGAAAGTGACTGATGCCGCCAGATCTAAAATTAAAGTGTCAAGTTTTTTTTGTTTTTTCAATCATCAGTTCAAGTAAGGCAATAGAGTCACTAAGACAAAAACGGCTACTGCGTGTGAAAGAATGAGAAAAAGAAAGAAAGAAAAAAATAGGGAGAGAGAACAAAAGAAGGGGAATTAAGAAGATAACGATTGACATTGCATTTTACTCAGAGTTTCGGGGATAGTCGCCACTAGTCAATTTTATGAAGCACCCCGCCTCCCTCCCTGGTCGAGTGGATACTATCTCCGTGAAACCCAAAGTCGGGACTGATAAGATGAACATTTAATTTTATTTGTTGCTATATATGCGGTATTTGAGGCGAGTGTGTAGAGAGAGGAAAAAAAAACAAAAAACAAAAAAAGACAACCTACATCCACTTGAACATGTGACCATCCGTCAAAGGTGAAAGTTTTCAAATCCGGGTGGAATTTCAAATCGTAATTCACCGGAACAACACATTTTGGTAAATGCTCGAACAAGCGTTTTTCTGGCATTGTAACTAAAAAGTTACGTTGTTGGTGTCTGAACAAAGCAACAGTAGAAGCAGCAACTCTTAAGTTAGCACGTTTGAAAAACCCACGACATTTAATATTAGCACTAGAATTACTGTTAGAGGTAACTGTACAAAAAAAGTAAGGACGTTGCCGAAATTCAGACAGCAGTTGATAATGGCGGTAAAAATATGCTCTTCTTTGATTATTGGAGAAAAAATAATAGCGAGACTTGAACAAGTTAATTAACTGCATGCGATTTCCATGACCCGAGTGACAAAATACATACATGAATATAACTATTTCAATTTAATGTTACAAGGAAGGTGAAGAGTTACTAGTTAGCTTCTACGAACAAGCGATGAAGTTGCTTTTTTTTCAAGAGGGTCACCCGGTCAAGAACACCGGAAAACGGAAATAAAGCAAGATTTGGTCGAGTCTTCTCGGGTCTTTCCGTAACCGGAAGTGAGAGAAATGATCACTTGATCCCCATTCTTGGATGTCGATTGATTTATTTATCGGATTTGATTTACAAAGCAGCAATTCTGATATTCATCTCGCGTGTTTTTTTTCTTTTTGCTTATTACTTTATTAAAACATCACACAAAAATTTAGTAAAAATGAAAATCTAGAAATATCAATCAAACAAAAATAAAGTTAATAGAAATTTAATTTTAAATTACATTACAAAAAAATAATCTTACTTTTTTTAAATTTTTTATTACCATTGTCTGGAGATTGTTGTTAATTTGAGTGTTTCAAAAAAAAAAAAAAAAAAAAAAATTGTATATACCAAAGATTGGTTTACTTACTTCCTTATACAGCGCACGTCAATATTTTGAAGTCGACTCATATTCCGAGTTCCCCTTTTTTTCTTTAAAAAAAATTCCATGCATTTTAAAGAAATATCGAAAAACGGCATATCGGTTGGCATTCTAGTTTTATTTTGAATGCATGACTTTTCTCATTTTATTTTTCAATTCCAGTGACATTGGGAAAAAAAAAACTATTGCAATTACATTGCATTCCAAACATGAGTTTTTCCGCGATCAAAAGGAGGGCACAGATTATGAGCCTACTTCAAAATATTTACGTGTGATCTGTGTCGTGATGAGAGCGATGGTGGCTCTCCACAACTTCCTGTCTTTAGTAATTATTAGCAACGCGAATGAATTTAAAATAAAAACGCTTTCAATTTAGCTTTAAACGAAAGCTAAAGGAATTGAACCTTCACTTTTTCGCTAAAAAAAGAATAGCATGAAAAAGAAAGAAAAAAAAATTTTATCGTCAAAAAAATGTTTGTTACTATTAAGAGGAAAGAACAAAATATTTTTTTTAAATTATTTAAAAAAAAAATTTTCCATCCTTTTTAGAACATACTAACTTTTGAAAAACCCTTGTTTTTTGCGTCCAGGGGTACTAATAACAGCAAATTTTACGCTCATTAATTGGTAGAGACTTTCATTTTTTTCCTCAGTAAAATCGATCACGTCAAACATTTAGAGACATTCGTAAACAAAACTAAATTTGCCGTTTTAAAAATCTTGCAAAAATATATATTTCTGAAACGCTATTTGAGAAGAATTAGCAAAATTAAAGTTAAGTTAACTCAAAAACCAGATTTGAAACAAATTACTACTTATAAAATTAAAATGTTGCATACAAGCATTTCCTAACCACAGGATCTTGTTTTGACCACTGAACGTCTTCAGTTAAGTATGGTGTAGCAGACGATTAGATTTCATTAGGGTTTTGTAACGTTTGTTTTGTTCCCCGTAAAGGGAATGGGAAACAACCCTTAAAACATGCGATTTTTTAAAGAATATTTATTGGTTTGTACATTCATACTTCAGAAATTCTGCATCTATATACATATATAAAATAAAAGCAAAATCGGAAATTCTTTTAAAAATAGTCCGGTCCTTCAGATTGTAATACGCTTTAAAATATATGATTAGTAAATATAATTTTTTTTTACTTAATGACAATATTCCCTAAGTATTATCTCACCAAAATTAAATTTTAGTTTAAAAAATTCAAAAATGTTATAAATTATTCCACTTTAAATAGTAAAAAATGAAAAGAAATCTTGAAGAAAAAAAATTCTTAAGACATTGATTGTCTTTAAAAGTAATTAAAAGCTTCTCTAATTAAATAATATCATTAATTGCATTTTTCGCTAAGATGGGATCAGTTTTTGCAAAAAAAAAAAAAAAAAAAAATCTGATCCTTTAAAGTGCTTCAAAAAATTCTGGTTTTAAATATTGTCACTAAAAAAACATTCTCGATGAATTTCTCAAGTTTTCATAAAATTAAGTAAAGGAGAGAAACATGAAAAAAAATTTCAAAAATAATTTCATTCGTTTGTGAATAAGTCATAAAAATATCATTTAAAATACAACAATCATTTGATTCTTGCAATAATTCCTAAATTAATGTGTCGGTCACAGCAAGAAAAAGGCTAAAATCTGCTAAAAAACTAAAAGAGTATAACAGCTGACGCAAGAATAAAAATTTAATCTAATTTCGAATGTTCTAAAAATGAGTAAAAAAATTTAATTAAATATTTAAAAATAGTTTGATCTTTACTCTTAACAATAACATAACAATTTTGAGTTGTAATTGACAATAAAACTGCTTTCATTACGTTTTTTGGAGTATGGTTTGCAGATTTTTTTTTTTTAACGATCTCATGGAGGTACCTTTTTGAAACGAAACCTTATACCCACATTTTGCTAAAAAATGAGCATAGCATGATGAAAAAAGACGCCAAATTTAACGAAAACAAAATTTTATCGTCTAAATGTTTATATTATTATTAAGAGGAAAGATC